ATTGATTTCATTTTAATGAGGGAAATAAATATTTGACCCCCTCTCAATCAGAAAGATTTCTGGCTCCCAGGTGTCTTTTATACAGGTAACGAGCTGAGATTAGGAGCACACTCTTAAAGGGAGTGCTCCAGATCTCAGCTTGTTACCTGTATAAAAGACACCTGTCCACAGAAGCAATCAATCAATCAGATTCCAAACTCTCCACCATGGCCAAGACCAAAGAGCTCTCCAAGGATGTCAGGGACAAGATTGTAGACCTACACAAGGCTGGAATGGGCTACAAGACCATTGCCAAGCAGCTTGGTGAGAAGGTGACAACAGTTGGTGCGATTATTCGCAAATGGAAGAAACACAAAAGAACTGTCAATCTCCCTCGGCCTGGGGCTCCATGCAAGATCTCACCTCGTGGAGTTGCAATGATCATGAGAACGGTGAGGAATCAGCCCAGAACTACACGGGAGGATCTTGTCAATAATCTCAAGCCAGCAGGAACCATAGTCACCAAGAAAATGGTAACACACTACGCCGTGAAGGACTGAAATCCTGCAGCGCCCGCAAGGTCCCCCTGCTCAAGAAAGCACATATACATGCCCGTCTGAAGTTTGCCAATGAACATCTGAATGATTTAGAGGGCAACTGGTTGAAAGTGTTGTGGTCAGATGAAACCAAAATGGAGCTCTTTGGCATCAACTCAACTCGCCATGTTTGGAGGAGGAGGAATGCTGCCTATGACCCCAAGAACACCATCCCCACCGTAAAACATGGAGGTGGAAACATTATGCCTTGGGGGTGTTTTTCTGCTAAGGGGACAGGACAACTTCACCGCATCAAAGGGACGATGGACGGGGCCATGTACCGTCAAATCTTGAGTGAGACCCTCCTTCCCTCAGCCAGGGCATTGAAAATGGGGTATGGATGGGTATTCCAGCATGACAATGACCCAAAACACACGGCCAAGGCAACAAATGAGTGGCTCAAGAAGAAGCACATTAAGGTCCTGGAGTGGCATAGCCAGTCTCCAGACCTTAATCCCATAGAAAATATGTGGAGGGAGCTGAAGGTTCGAGTTGCCAAACGTCAGCCTCGAAACCTTAATGACTTGGAGAAGATCTGCAAAGAGGAGTGGGACAAAATCCCTCCTGAGATGTGTGCAAACCTGGTGGCCAACTACAAGAAATGTCTGACTTCTGTGATTGCCAACAAGGGTTTTGCCACCAAGTACTAAGTCATGTTTTGCAGAGGGGTCAAATACTTATTTCCCTCATTAAAATGCAAATCAATTGATAACATTTTTGACATGAATTTTTCTGGATTTTTGTTGTTATTCTGTCTCTCACTGTTCAAATAAACCTATTGTAGTGCCTTGGATTCACTCGGACGACAATCGCCTTTCCTCCACCGTCACTTTTATTTCCATCGTTCCACACACACTATAATTTCTCCTCTCCGCGCTCCGCCAACTCGAACACTCGAATTCCCCTCAGCACCGTCCGCTCATACTCCTTGTCTCCCCACACAGTCTCTTCTTCACTCCCCGCACACACAGTGGTTCTATCTCTATCTCCTCACACACAGTGACTCGTCTCTCTTCACATGCAGTGACTTGTCCCCCACACACAGTGACTTGTCTATCTCTTCACACACAGTGACTCGTCTACCTCTTCTCACACAGTGACTTGTCTATCTCTTCACACACAGTGACTTATCTATCTCTTCACACACAGTGACTTATCTATCGCTAACTCTCCCTGTACCTACCTATACCGTAACTTCCACTCTGATAACGCTAACCCTCGCTATCGCTATTTATTGTCCTCTGGGTTCGGCTCTCAATCTATTCCTCACTAACACTTGCCGGCTCCCCTCTTCGCATCTCTCTCTCTACCCGCTGCTGTCTCCACTTCTCGCCAACAAACTCCCCCGCCGTCCAAATCACCTAGCGTTTTATCCCCTTTCAAATCAGCCTTAATTAATTGCCACGTGCCTCGCTGGCATTTTCTCGCCAGCTCGCACCTGTCCAACGGCCCAGACTTCGTGACACCGCCACTTAACGCTAACAGCCTCTCGACCAATCACAGCCCTCGTGCCTTGACTCCCTTAATTACTTTGGCTTGCTTACTCCACCCGTGACTTCACCACCTGCCCGACCTTATGTGACCCACACTGTTTGTATGTACTGTATATGGCCAATTTACCCATGTGTATCTTCTACTCCACTACACTACCATTAAAATTATAGACTGATCATTTGTTTGTCAGTGGGCAAACGTACTAAATCAGCAGGAGATCAAATACTTTTTTTCCCTCACTGTATTCACAAATAACATTGCAATTGTGATCCGAGTTCATGACTTCTAAAGGAGCTATATTATAATACTCACATTTTGGTCGTCCGTGATATCTATGGTGTAGACATTTTGTTCTCATGAATGACCAGATAAACCTGTTATTAAGGTTATGAATTGTATTATGTCCAGCCTTGGGATTCTCAAAAACGATACGGACACATTGTAACCTCTCGGCCAATTTGAGTGGCAGTCTTGTGGATGATAATGCGTGTGGGGTGGTGGTGGGGGAGGGGGTGGCAGCTGGAGGAAGTGGTCTAATTTTAGGGAGTGGCCAAACAATTCTGTCTGGAATGGTCAACGTGCTACCTTACTACTCTAGTCGGGGGCAGTCAATGGGACGAGGATTCCCGAGGGAGTTAATGCCCCTCCAGGGCTCACACTACATTCCCTCGTACATGATTGACCATAAAAGGTACTTTTAAACCTGAGTAACCGGCAGTGACAGAAAATAAATAAACAAATGCTTGCCCTTTAATTTTCCATGCTGCCGGGCACCTCGTGACTCAGTCCCTCCTGGATGCCCAGAGGAGTGAGGTAATTCCACGTGACTTCGGGTTTGGCAAGAGAGAGTGTGTGTGTCTTCTGAGGGTGTCGAGTTTGGGAGCGTTTCGCTACCACATGTGGCTCGTCACCCCCCACCCCCCCCCCCGCGTGGTGGGAGGAGTAAACAGAGAGAGAGAGAGGGGAGGCTGCTGGGGTGAGGTGGCAGGGCGTGTTGCAGGCGGCGGGACCCACTGCGTCGTGCGCCCGCGTGGTCTCCCCCGCAGCTTGTGAGTGCTCTCCGTGGCTCTTGGACGACTTAGCGCGGCACCAACCACTACTTGCTTACTGCTGCAGTACCTAGCGACTTCTACCACATTGTATACGCCTGATCAAGTGGGTGGTGGTTTCTTCTTTGCGGTTACCACAGTGGCTGGAACGTCGCTCATCGTGGTAGGTGCTATAAACTCAGTTTGTGGAAATGTCAGTTTCCGTATTAAAAACGTACATTGTGCCATCTGTTACAATTCATAGTATAATACAGTGACATTCAACTGGTACTTTTCATACACAATATAATCCTTGAGAGTGTAACATGAACTTTCGCAATGTGAAGAATTTTAAACCATGTAAAGTTAAATATTTGATTTGCGAATTGTTTATTTTATTAAAGTAGGTAATATGAATATTGACGCTATTGTAATGATCTTTAGATGATAAAAACATGTTTGGCCTTTAATACACTGCTTAGGTAATATGTAAGTGTTAAAAATGTTGGAATGTTTAAATGGTATCGTTTGTGGAGAGAGTGTTAACCCGAAGCCCTGTGTGTGAGTAGAGCTATGGGTGACGATAGGCGAATGCAGGGGAAGTGTGCGCCCGAAGTTATCCGCCACGAGGTGAACCTGACCTCGAGGGGTTTGGCTTGTGAGAGAATAGCAGCACTCTTCCCGTGCAGTGTTTTCCTGTCCAGTGTGGACAGCTGTGAGCATCCACCAAAGAAGAAAAAGCAGAACATTGTAAAGTTACTTTCTTGGGTAGAGGAGTCTTGTGTCTGTAAACTTTATGCAGACTAGATCAGTCATACTGATTCATGTCAATTATATTTTTGCACGATGTAAAGGTAAAAACCTTTGATAGTCTTGTCAAGCCTCGCCGTTGTAGTTTGTTGTGTAATGTGGTGTCATGCCTGGGATATGTTTTCGTCTGTGTTTTGGGTACTTTCTCCTTATGATTTTATCAGTTTTAACAACTTTGTTTTCTCTTAAATAAAAATTACATTCCGGTTGTGGTTTTGTATCATTTCACTTGACACATACATTTCCATGTATGTATGTTGAACTACTTTTTGCACCATACACAGCCAACCGTGCTAATCAGAGGTGCAGGGGAAGACCAACATACGGGTAGCTGGTAACGCAACCACCTTGTGTCAGAGACTGAAAGATGCTCTCGAAAAACTACTGCTGAAGTCGCTTCCATGGAACCCTTGATCCTCTTTAGGGGATCACTTTGTTATGCTTTGCACAATGGTCTTCATGTCAATCAAACTGAAATGTGTAAGACCATTTAATGTGGTGTCAAAATTTGTGCAGTCATTGGTGACGATGCCAAAAATGTCAACTTTGCACCTGAGAACACGGTTTAACCACGGACGTTTGCCCTGAATCAAACCTAGGATCTCAGCAGTGCCAGGTTCAGTGCTCTAACCCTTGAGCCACCTGTCCACCCTGTGATTTAAACAATTTTGAGGGCCGCCCATGCAATAAAAAAGGTGATCTTTAAAGTAAACTTTGCCCTTGCATGCCAGACCTCTAAAAGAGAATGTAAATTATATGTAAAGCCTTTGAATGTTCATCTTTAACCTTCGAACCGTAAAAATGTTAAGTATTGTAAGTGTTTTATTACCTTCAAATGTAGGTATAAATTTGGTTGCACTCTACATACATTGCTACATACAGTAAACTTCCAGCTATCTGGAATTCAAGTATCTGGAATTTTTTGACTGAGCCAGACCGTGTCTGGAAAAATTAAAAAAAATATTCAGTGAGCCAAAAATCCAGCCCACATTTAGACAATTCCAAACAGCCGCCAGGCCGGCACTCCTAGACCGGCACTCCTCTGGCGCGCACCCACAGCGCGCAGCCAACGTCATGAGTGTGACGACCAAAGTGTGCTGTGAGGTGTTGTGATGTACAGTGAGTGTTAATGTTAAGTTTACTAAACTGTATCATGAGTTTAGTTTTCTCAAAAGCTTAAATGGTATACAATGACACCCCTGTGGTCTTGTCAAAGGGATCAACACAGCTGCATTGCATCGGTGGTGAGTACATTACTACCGTGTGCAATAATATAAATCTTTGTTTACCTTAAGTGGCCTCATACACGCAGCACACTCGCACTGGTCAGGATCGTTAAAGGTTAGTAGCTCTGACTAACGCTTCACTGTTTTCAGGGACCAGATAGTGTGTAATAAAAACAGCGTGTTTGAGACCTGGCTTGCAGCGTCACTGGATAAGAGTTCTGATGTTGAGTTGGCGAGGGGTGTGTGTTGATTATTTGTCATTTTATGGTTTTTTTAATGTGTGTATCGTTATTTTTTTCCAGGATGAGTTCTTCATTCGTGGAAAACCTCATTGATTGGGGAGATTTGGATGAAATCGAAGCAACTTCATCTGCCACTTTGGAGAAGACCGTTGCTGGAGCTTGTCTTTTAAAACCGTCCATTCTGAAGGCATCTCAAAAGGACAATTTATTTCCGTCCAAACCCAATAAGGTGATACTTTTTTCCTTTTTATCATACAAGGTTAGGGACCCATTGATAATCGACCGTAATAAATTACTTGGTCCAGGTGGGTATCTCATCACCCTCACACTACCCCTGTGCGTACCCCTCCCAAACAGCACAAACATATCTGTTATATAATTTTGAAATGTTTTCGCATCATGAGCCACGTTATTGTAAATGGTAGAGTAGATAAATAACACTCGGGTTTGTAAGCCAATTTGGCCAAATTATTGGGTCAAACGTCCAATTTATTGACAATTTCAACCGAATTCACATAACTGGGATATACGCTTTCACTTGTCACCTCATTGAAATGTCAGAATCGGTCTGGAGGGAGTTCTCCAGCTATACATGATGCCACTGCACCACACTGCCACCCCAGTCTAGCAGTGATGCACGCGCAACAATCCTATGAAGTATTTTTCAGCAATAGATTTAAAGTATTGTATTTACGTTTCCAAAAGGATGGTTTCTTGTTGTACATGTGTTGTTTAGGTATTGTCACACGCTTCGTGATGGGATCCGTTCAATTTTGGGCCAGTCTCGGCTATTTAAAGATGATATTGCAAAGGGTGCTCAGGTGCCAAAGTATGTTTCAATTTGGTTTCACATGGAGTAGCTGAGGTGCTCAATAATATTTTGGTCCAAATTGACAGTACAGCAGTTTCTTGATACTTCCAGTTTTGTAGGGTAGCTAATTAGGCTGTCAACAAATATACGCAGAAGTGCAGATTGCCGTTTTGGGATATTATTGGAGGTGATACTAAATAATTTATTTACATGCGTATTATATCATTTGAGTTGATTTTGTTTAAATAGTTAAGTATTGTCCTGCCGAAGGTTAGAATAATGCGAAATCTTTTCGCGGTAGTGAATTGTTTGTTCCCTCTTTGATGTTCTGAGGCCTCAGAAAGGACGGTCTTCATAACGTGCAATTAGATGAAGGGTCACACGTGTGTCAGTTACTTCCACGGTCACACACGTGTCAGTTGCTTCAACAGTCACACGCGTGTCAGTTACTTCCACGGTCACACACGTGTCAGTTGCTTCCACGGGTTTACGATCAGAGGGGTGGTGGTGTGACCGCATCGGCAGGGCAACAGGTAACCGTCTACAAGCCAATTAATATTTGTGATGTCTTGTGTACACATAGACATGGCATCTTGTATTATATAATTAATGACATCACCCTGTTGTGTATTTTGTTTGGTTAGTTGGGAGTCTTTAGTGTCATTGGAAGTATCTTATACTTACCAAGTCAAAGGTGAAATTTTGTGAAGTATCCTGATCCAGTCGGGATGGCTGCCTTGTTTCAGCATGAATAGATACATTAAAATAAATGAATTATAAAAAAATATATACTTTTGCGTGATCAAAGAGTTTTGTTAATTGATTAATAGTTGCACCTTCTAAGTTCCTTTCCTGTAAGAACATTCCGTATGAAACACATCAATGGTTTTATAATTTGCCTGTCACTGATAGATCTTGAATTAGTACGGAGACCAAATGAAAGTTTTGCTTTTATTAAATGATAAACTGTGTTCTATTTTTTTCCCCACCCAAAACTTTTTCTCACAAAGAAAAAAATGGGCAATGAAGAAAGTAGTCCGCAAAGTGAGGTAGGACGAGCACCCTGCTCACGGCTGCTGCGTGGCGGTGTTCTTAACAAGCGCGATTGTCAGCGGTTGTGCGCTGCTGCTGTTGTTGAGGTTTCCTAATGCCTGCACGCCAGCTTAGTCTTGCATTGCACATTAATGCATGAAATCTTATTCCACATCTTCTTAATATCATCAAAAAAGTTACCGATGCATACAATTTGACAGTGTTTGTGCAGGCTACTTGGCTGAATAATGTTTGTTACCAACACTTGCTTGTGTGGTTGCACCACTGGAGAATTCACATGTAGGTGCTTGATAGGGGTGTCCACTTTGGAAGCAGAAATACATTTTGTAACCTCTATCATTTACTTATTTGGAACACTTTCTTATTCGCTTCTTGTCAGTGTGCTTATTTTAGGGTTGCCGCAATATCAGGTTATACGATATTAAATTTCGCAATGTGTGATGATTCACGATCTCAGTTTACTTTGTCATTGGTATTTTATGTCTTTATCATCTTGTTTTTGTGCTTTGTTCTACTTCATACAAATAAAAATTGCCAAATCGTCACTCCCTGGCAGTTCACTGTTCACTTAATTGAAGCCTGCCATAAGTATTCTAATCGTGGTAACTGCAATCTTTGATGCTTACAAAACATGTGCCGTCAGGCATAATATAATAAAATCTGTCAGTTGTGTTATAATAAGGTCATTTAATGAGTAGTATATTTTTTCTTAACTTTAATGTTAATTATTCTTTGAATCATATTTTTCTAAAATTTTTATGAAATTGCGATATTGAGCAAAATGGACAATACGATTATTGTGCGAATTTTATCGTACAATATAACCTCGGACTATTTTATGATACCGGCAAAACATTGGCCCGTAGATGTATTGCTATATCACGGCAACCCTAGTATATATTTGCCGAGTTGCAGGTTGTATGTATGTATGTTAAACTTCTTTGGCACCTTACATAGCCAACTGTGCTAATTGGAGGTCCAGGGGAAGGACAATTAACTAAACACAAAAAAACGGTTTCACAGTTAAAGTGTGAACACACTTTAATCTTCACAGGTAATTATTGAATGGCTGCCTGTCGCTTCCTTATCACTCTTGTTTTACCACTGACTAGCACGGCCTTTGTTCCTTTGGAACTTCGTATCTTTATTCCTCTGCAAATGTCAGTCAACTCATCCATAATACAGGTTTGTTTTGGGGTGCTAGCCAGATTTGGCTGTCTGCCTGATGATCGTAGTTTGTAATTACTGGTGAAACGTCGTACTCGGATTGTAACTGTTGCGTATTTGCTCTCCAACACACCGGTGTGCTGTACTCGTAACGGATTGGCATGTTCTGTTTACGTGACAAACCTTTCTAATTTTCTGTGTCGGGCGGTGGCCGGTTTAACAACACATTTATATTTATGCGATCTAACCCAACAAAAATGATATTGGTCGCGAAAGCCTGCGTGTTAATCAGTCAACTCATTCTGACAATTTAGACTGTTTCCTCATCCGCACTGTGCTCACACACATGATTACAGGGCTCGACGAACTGCACAACGCTGTAACTCGTTGCACCGCGCAAGTCCCACATAACCTTGCTGAATTCAATGAGAGAGTTTATTCAAATCTGCTTTATTTTCCTTAGTTTCTTCCGTCGCTGGACACTTTGTATCGTAGCCCTTTGGACCCGTGCTCAGCAATGTCAAAAAGTGTCTCCCACATGTCTCTTATAGCTCATCTGAATGCACCTTCTGTTTTCTAGTATCTCATTGGATTGTCGATCATCTCATAGATTGTTTGAATGCTTCCTATTTTTTATCAATCCTGAATACATATTCACCCTTTCTCGGTGTCTTCTATCCAAGCGTGTCTTTTACATCTCTGCATCTGTCACTTGTCTACACCTCTTGTCCCACCACCTCTATTGCCTCTGCTCAAGCCACTATATCTCTCTTGTGTACTTTTCATCTCAACATCCCTGTCATCTTTATCTTTCCTCTCATCTTACTGCATCTGCCTTGTCCACGTTGTTAATTTACAACATTTGCCTTAAGTCTACATCTCATCACTGTCACATCTACATTTCTCTTCTGTCATCTAATTACACGTCTGCCTGTCTATCTATCTCACATTTCTCTCATTTTCATGTGCTCTTATCTCAGTACCACTGTCTCAGCTCGCCATGGTGGCGAGATTGACTACCTCGCCTGTTATACGTGGGTTCTATCCCAACCCTGATTTGGAGTTTATATGTTCTCCCCGTAGTCGTGTGGATTCTTCTCCGGGTCCTCCAGTTTTTCCCTCCACTTTTAGAAACATGCGTTAAGAGTATTTGGCTGCTATAAATTTCCACATGATAAGCCACTTCATTATGCGACCTCCTTTGCCAGAAACAAGATATAGGAATAGGTTTTACCCTTTTAACTGGCACAAAAACTGACACCTTTATTCAAGGCATCATGTTTGCAATGACCACAACACAAGCAGTCAAAATGCAAACAAAAAAGACAACTCTGATAAAAGGACAGTGCATATTATTATCAGAGTTGTCTTTTTGTTTGCATTTTGACTGCTTGTGTTGTGGTCATTGCAAACATGATGCCTTGAATAAAGGTGTCAGTTTTTGTGCCAGTTAAAAGGGTAAAACCTATTCCTATAAGCCACTTCGTTGAGCTATCATTTGTGGCCAAGTCGCTGAGTGGGTTTTATATATTTTTTATATTTTTATAATTTTATTGTTTCCCTTCTATGTGACTTTACCAAAAGAACCAAGAATATTAAAATAAAGCTAGTTTATTTTTCACATCTCACTTCTGTGTCTATCCTATCTACACCTACTTCCATCTCACTACATCTGTGCTTTGTCAATATCTCTCATCTCACTTAATAAGTTTCTTTAGTTTATACAGTAAAACCTCACGGGGTCCAATTCGGATTAACTGGGATTCATGGTATGCCGGAAAGGCTACCGAAAAGTAAATAAAAAATGTAAACCCCCTCAAAAACCCTCTGATCATAGCACTGTTTGCGGGGTATACAGGCTGTGCACTTTAGAGCACGGTGGAAAAGCGCGATGCTAATCTTGTGCAGGCAATTGCCATCCGTGACCATTTAATACAGCATATTTGATTGGCGCGCAAGTGTACGATCAGTTGTAAAGTGCTCCACGATTGCTCGTCTGATATCCGTTGTATGACGTTAGGTGAACATTGCACTCGTACACGACTCTCAGACTCTTTAACTGTACGGTGCACATAATTTTAGAGGGGGTTATTAAACAGTAAAACTTAAAATAGTTTTTAAAATGTGGTATTTATTTATTAACTTATCACATGTCAGTGAAATGTGTGAGGTGTGTATTACTTATAAATAAAATGTAACGTGTATAATTATTCATTGATTAATTGTGATATGCCTGATGTTCCCTTTAAATGGAAACATTTTTTCCTTACGGAGTCTGGCTGTCAAAGTTTTACTGTATTTTCTTATCGTTAAGATATGTCTCACCACTTCTCTCATTACTACATCTCTTAAGACTCCTCTTTGGGTTTGATTTAAGGTCTGGCGGGATACCTAATTTAATTGTTTGGCAGAAGAATAGCAAAAAACGTGTTAAATGTACCCCATAAGTTTGCCAAAACTATATAAAATAGTAATTGTTGCTACATAGCGGGTGATCTAGGCCTTCCTTGTGACACAAGTTTAAAGAAATTTGAGTTACTTTATTGAATGGTTCCTCTGGTGTACATGGTTCTCGTGGTTATGACACTGTTTACATTTTACAACATGTGCACACGATACACCTAAATGAAATTGTGCACACGTGGGCGGCTGCACTGAGTGCGCGTTTATCCCAACGCAGGTCACGTTTCAGACACCTCGACGCGACCCTGTCACCAAGAAGCCGCTGTCTCCAGCGGTAGGCGTGTGGGGAGGAGGCCTTCTCGTTGCACCGCGCGAAGAGGAGACCCCTTCGTCCCCACTACAACTCGTAGAGTCCAGCCCTGCGCCGCTGCTGCTGGGGGCAGGGGGAGACCTTGCTGCAGTGCAAAGCACAGGAGCCGGGTAAGATCTCTCTCTTGGTGATGCTCGTGGGGCGATGACGTTGCCTCGGCAGTAGCACGTTTTCCGCTTGTTGTGGAGGTAGCGAGATGTTAACAACCTCGTTTGGTATGCAGGAGGTCGTGAGTTCGGTCCCGACCCTGTGACACCTGTATATTTGGAGTTTGCATGTCTTTCTCTTCCCACTTGCATGGATTTTTCTTTGGGTCCTCCGGTTTTCCCCTTCCATTTAGAAACATGCATTTAGATTATTTGGCTGCTATAAATTTCCACATTAGCCACTTCGTTGAGCTTTCATTTGTGCCCAGGCCGCTTCTGAAAAAGAGCTATACAGTTGAGTGGGCCTAACCTGGTATAAAAAATAAATATTCATTTAGGTTCACAGTTCAAATCGACCAGCTGCCCTAGTTGATACTAAGGCTGTTATAACCGTTAAAATACGTGCCGTCTGCTTCACAGTTGGCATTAAAGATCCCATGATGTAATTCACAAAAATAGGCCATTATGTGCTGGCGTCATGGTTCACATTTGAAAAACTACCAGCAAGTTTCTCAGTTTGGATTAGGCATAGCAATCATCCCTTCGACTGCAAACTCTTGGCACGGCCCTCCTGAAAAAACAGTTGCGAGGCTTTCCTGGGTAAGCAAGTGTGATAATAAAAGAAAAAGAAAACATCCTCGATATACCGGTTTTATTAACCAAATATAGTAACACGATGTTGAAATTGTGGTTTAGTGCACAATTGTACTTTTAAAAATTAATTGAATAGGACTGCAGATGATCCTTTCCCTGCTGTCCCTGCCACTCCTGTAAGAACTATATAATAAAAATGAGAACCATATTATTTATTTATTAGTTTTTAAAATTTCATTTTATATTCTATCTATGTGACTACCGAAAGAACCAAGAATATGAACTATATAATTACCCACAGTCCCAGAAATACTTAAGTACAATCACAAGAAGAGTGCTGGCTGATCGCTGAGCAGTCTCCACCCCGCCTAGCGAGGAGCAGCAGGGTGTCACCCTTGCAGCCAGCTGTGTCCATTCCAGCGTCATCATCAATACCTTTACCATGCTTTGTAATGCTCAAACAATCATCCCTATCTGGCGTCTTCATTGCTCTCGCAAGGAGGTTGGAAATCCCATCTCATACACTTCGTTATATGGGAATATTTTGTTTATATCTGTAAATGAATTTGAAATCACCCATGAAAATATTCTGCCCCGTCTGAGCTCACACATTGACAATGCATCCTTAGTCTTGTCGTCGGCACCATTCCCTTACAATGAAGATTATTTAACATCTAGGAATTCGCAGGCAATGTTATTTTTCATAATTGATTTGTATTTTATGCCAAATTTCTGTTATTACCTTTCATAAGGAAAATGCATTGGAACTCGTCAGGTGAATAAATTATAAATGAATAGCTGTAATCAGTTTTAACAACATTGTGACAGTGGGCAACATTTAACATTCAAGTTATGCAGTGGGTCTCAGAAAAAAGCAGATTTGCATCCTGAGCCTATGTGTACCTGTTAAATCTACAAAGTCTGCTTGCAATTGTCTGAGAATGTCCAGCTATTCTTGGCCTCGCACACCATCCTGACCAAAGGCCTTTTGTAGGGCAAAGTGTATGGCCGTTAACTGGCCCTTAAATAAATGTAGGGCCTTGTCAAGCGCTAGCAAGTGGCTTTCTGTGGCTGGGCATGGCCCTGCCACAAGGACACCAAAAACACCATCTTCCCTTCACGGTGATGGTGAATCAGATGAAACCATTCACTAACCGTGGCTATTTCTAAGTGTGATTAAAAGTGGAGGAAGTATTTCTGTAAACATTATTTTGGAGTGGAGGTTTTCAATTTCTGTGCAGTACTGTTATAGAATTTAGGTAAATGACTTAGTTGTTCCAGGAATGGCAGTTAAATTTAGAAAAACTGTTTTATATGTTAGACCTAAAATAGATTTTGTACAGCAATACCACATTTATGTTTTTTCCTTTATTGATTGTCTTCTGTTCATGTAACAACTTTCACATAACCCAAGTTTTCCAATGTCATTTCTATCTCGACTGCTTGCCTTGCTAGATTAGTGCTTCCCAACCTTTGTTCAATAGATTCTACCATTAAACTTAAGGGGATTCATAACTGAATATGATGTGTACAGGGTTGTTTTATTAAAGTACAGGCATCCACGATTTTCTCTTGTCAACTCAAGCTCTACAATAAAACTGCTATGTGTTTTACTGTGCATCAAATGTAATATTTGAATGCATAAACTTCCTGTTGAGCAGCTTATCTGGAGTGCTGTTTACAGGGTTACAACAGCCCTCACTGCAGTGGAGACTAAGATTCCAATGGGGACTTCAAAGAGTACATAATTGAAAAAGGTTGGGAACCACTGCTGTAGGAATCCTGTATGTCGAGAATCTCCTTGTGTTGCTTGTTATGTTCTTGCATTAGATTGCTTGTCTTTCTGTTGGTTAACATTGCTTTCTTCTATATGTCTTGAAATGTGTCCTCATACCTTCACATCCACTAAAACTTGTGTCTTTATCTCTACAGTGTCGTTGCTGATGGTGACACCATTAGCAGCGATCCACTTCTTCACATTTCCACTGCACTAAAAGAACCTCTCAATATGGAGTGCATAACCTCTAATAACATTGGCGTTTCTGAGCTCGAATCTCAAGAAGTATTGGCTTCCGATTGTCACTTGAAAATACAAAATAGTAATTTTCCTCCTAGCAAAGGAGAAATAGTTGAAAATCTCTGCTTTGGAGACGGGAGTGATACTTTGGAAGCAAATGATGTGGAAGGAAATGAAACATATTCACTAGCTATTACCACATCACATGAACAACGTATTGAAAACAGTACATCAGAATCGGTGACTGTAGAACATCTTAACACTCCATGTATAAGTTGTGCAGACCCTACGCTTACTACAGTAGGGACCGATGACCAAGAGAGCCACGATGTGGGATCTGGCACCTGTGCTGAATTTATTTTCAATCTTGGCTTGGGCGACTGCCAGGAGAACACGGATAAATTATCACCTGATGAGGATTCTAACACCGAGTTGTTTTGTACATTTCCCACCGATGCACATGATGAGGACACAAATGAGAGTTACAATGCCGCACATTCAGATCTTTCTGATAAATCGGCTTACAACACAATTGAACAAGATTGTAGCCTTGAGAATGACATTACTCGCGATCCTCAAGATGACATTGAGCATCTCAGTATTCTCCATGCAGATCGCTCCGACACGTGTGCCGAAAACATAGACGACGCTCCGCTTGAAGGAAACTGCCGTATTAATGATTTTGTCGGTCAACCTCAAAGTGGCATTGATAGTGAAGTTGCAGATAATGCAGAAATTGAACCGGCTGGAGAGTTGGACAGAGATGCAGCTTGTCATCCTGAAACAAATAAAGTTATAACAGAAGTGAAGGATTCGGGTAACCAACTTGACTTACAAGCTGAATTAAAGTTCAACTCTGACTTGCCCTGGCAAACAACGATTGTCCCTCTGTCATCGAATTTGAACGACCATGGGGAAGAGTGCATTACCCCGCATGTGGAAACAGGAGACTCGAGTGAACTTCGTCATGGAACCCCCATCGTAAATGAAGAAGTCTGGCTCTCTGATGCCGTTCAGGACGACCCTGCATCTCACGGAGATGTGGTTGCTATTGGAACAACCTGCACCCTTTTTCAAGATGATCTTAGTTCTTTGGTTGAAACCAGACACCATGGTGATGCAAATAATTTGCTTCATGACGTCGATTACTTGATTGAGGAAAAAGCAAATGGAAAGGAGATTTACAAGGCAAATGAGAATGGCACAATTGAAACACAGCAGCAAGAAGAGCGAATTGAAACCTCAAGCAGTGCGAGTGAAGAGAGCATGCTGCTGCACCCCGAGAGCGTGCTGCTGCACCCATTGAGCAGCGCGAGTGAAGAGAGTGTGCTGCTGCACCCCGAGAGCAGTGCGAGTGAAGAGAGCGTGCTGCTGCACCCCGAGAGCGTGCTGCTGCACCCCGAGAGCGTGCTGCTGCACCCCTTGAGCAGCGCGAGTGAAGAGAGCGTGCTGCCGCACCCCGAGAGCAGTGCGAGTGAAGAGAGCGTGCTGCTGCACCCCGAGAGCGTGCTGCTGCACCCCGAGAGCGTGCTGCTGCACCCCTTGAGCAACGCGAGTGAAGAGAGCGTGCTGCTGCACCCCGAGAGCAGCGCGAGTGAAGAGAGCGTGCTGCTGCACCCCGAGAACGTGCTGCTGCACCCCGAGAGCGTGCTGCTGCACCCCTTGAGCAGCGCGAGTGAAGAGAGCGTGCTGCCGCACCCCGAGAGCAGTGCGAGTGAAGAGAGCGCGCTGCTGCACCCCGAGAGCAGCGCGAGTGAAGAGAGCGTGCTGCTGCACCCCGAGAGCAGCGCGAGTGAAGAGAGCGTGCTGCTGCACCCCGAGAGCGTGCTGCTGCACCCCGAGAACAGTGCGAGTGAAGAGAGCGTGCTGCTGCACCCCTTGAGCAGCGCGAGTGAAGAGAGCGTGCTGCTGCACCCCGAGAGCGTGCTGCTGCACCCCGAGAGCAGCGCGAGTGAAGAGAGCGTGCTGCTGCACCCCGAGAGCAGCGCCAGTGAAGAGAACGTGCTGCTGCACCCCTTGGGCACCGACTCGCTCGCAGATCCACAACATCGGATTGCAGATATCAGTGAAGAAATGCCATCGTGCTCTGACAGAGCCCCAGAACACCAAAGTCCGATGTCTTCCTTAACCATTTCCAGCATCCACAGTGTGGTGGTCCCTCTGAGGTAATAATAATAATAAAGGTTCCTTCACACTAACAGTGTAAGCTTGAGTTGTGCCAGCAACATCATAGTGCACCCAGCGCAAGCCTTCCTTGCCATGCTGATGGCCATGCTGTCCAAATTATCTTTGAAATTTTCAAATTAAGGGAGGAAAAAAAATACAAACATGCTGTACAAAGTATACTTGTTTAAAATGTCTTTGAAAAACATCATTTTCAATCATTGCTAAATAAAGTAAATGTAAATCAAGCATTTCTTTGGGGCGATGTTGCTGTGTATTCTCCAAATGTAGTAATTTTATGGTGATTTTTTTCAAATTTAGAGCGTTGTGTCGGCTTACATAGCCTATTGTTTGCATAACATCACGGGATCTGTAGTGCTCGGTGTGAAGCAGACAGCCCGTATTTATGAATACACCCACAGTTTTAACCAGGGTGGCATTAGGATTTGAACCATGAACCTCGACAACAAAGGCGTTACCACGCAGCCATGTCACTGCCCCAATATACAACCGATCTTCCCTCTAGGGGCTTATAACCTAGCAGTGGGTCGTGTCCTCTGAGGGCCTTTCGACTTCCCTGAGGTGCACTCTAATGTTTGGCTTCAGAAACCCGCTCTAACCTCATAAGCAAATTAAATAATAGTTTGTTCCTCGGTTTACATTTATTGAGTGATTGTGCGTCACTGAGGAAGATCCTCCTTTGGGACCTTTAGCGATGTCATAATACTGTGCACATGGGAGTAAAGTAGACTGACAAAACAAACAAACCTTGTACTTCAGGGCTTGTAACAATCCACTGAAATTCCACGCAGATGTTGTAAACCTACTTGCTGTGCTTCCACTGCAACCATCTCATTGGCCTATCTCATTCAGTCTACGTCTCTTCTTGATCCACCCATACTGCTTCAATAGTTGCTGGATTACAGGCAATGCGCCACCACGTCTGGTCCGCATATAGCTGGAGGACAACGGACTGTTTTGTACTTCCGAGGTGTAATCTAACTTATGATTGTCCTCCCGTTAACGTGAATTGTGAGTGCAGAGTGCGAGCGACCGCTTCATGTCCGTGCTGTAGTCTGTGGTGCGCCGCTCGCGGCTGGTGATGGTCTTTAAGTGGCACACGATAACTAGGCGCCTCTGTTTCACAGAATTGCTTGTGATCTCCGTTGAGGTCTTCTCACGTTAAAAGCAATTGTAGAACCTCTCCAGCCCCCCGTAGGCACGTGCAAAGGCTGCTGCAAGCTCGGTGCTTGATATGGGAAATTTGTTGGCTAACATCAGCCGGTGCATTTATCAACAGTTAAATGCCAGTGGCACAACTTTAGCCCAATTTGCTTTGGGAGCGACATAGTGTGGCTGTAGAGTAAAGAGATTGATGCTTCGGCACGAAATGAGACGCCCGTGTGAAGTAGAAGCAAGACTTGTGCTCCGTGCCACCGCTTGCTTCCTTCGCCTTTCCAGACATGTTTGTCATTGCAAGCCGTCTGTTTCCGATTTAAACTATTTTCAATTAATTGTCAAAAACTCTGTGAAAAAGTTAACTTTATATATAAAAAAATCTCACTCCCAGCCCCGGGACGTGGAGAGTTGGTGGGGATGAGTTCAAAAGTTGACTCTTGGGGCCCCGGGGCTCCTGGGCTCCTGGGGCATGAGGGAGGGGCTATAGCCCGGGCATTGCTGGGGATTCTGAGCCAAGAGCTGCAGCAGGACCTGACCAGTACTGGGCTGGCAGAATAATGGGGTTTCTAGCCAGCGGAGTAATGAGGCATTCATTAAGTAGTTTTCCACCAAGCCAGATGATTTGATGAACCGGGCATCTAGGTGTAGTACAGAACTGCATTTTGTAGCTGGCCTGCACACAGCATTGAAACATTTTCATAAATATGGTTACTCAGTGTTGCTTAGCGATGTCGTGTTTCCTTCGTGTTACACCGTGTGTGTTTTACACAGTGACACCATGTGTATGTAACACCATGTTACGCTGTGTGTGTTGTACTGTGTTACACCATATGTGTGTGTGTTAAACCGTGTGTCTGTGTGTGGGTGGCTCAGCCTGGAGAGTGAGCCGTGCACCACCACCACCACGGCAGGTGACGAGGCTCCAGAGCAGCTGCAGACCGGCCTGGAGAATCCCTCACAATCTTTCTTTTCATTTGAAAGGTATTTTCAGTGCTATTAATGGGGTAATTTATTTTCAACATTCATATTTTTTATTCAATTAAGTACCATTTTTATATTGAATGGTGTTAATTTTCTCCCGACAAGTATCTTATTTCTACAGCAATTAATAATGAACTCCTGCAATATGTTTTTTTAACTTCTGGGTTGTCTTCACAAGTTTTGAACGTTTGCGAAGTTCGCTTGATCCATTCCAGCTTGGTACCACGGACAGCCCATTTTGGCATAACACACTCTGTACCATTCCCGAGGTTTCAGTCTCGTGGAAGTAGGCGAGTGCAATGCTTGCACTGCGCTCCGTGTGCTGTAGCTCTTCCAACTTACCCTGAATTCTGGGTTATTTGAGTGGTTTCAAATAGGGTTTACTCTACATATGTTACCATTATTAAGTGTAGCAGGTGCCAATAACATTTTGTCGCGTTTTGTTTTGATTTCTTAACTCGCACCTAATACTCACCATTTGCACCAACACGCACCGTTAACACTTTTCACTCGCGCTGTAACTCGCCACTGACATTAATCGCTAAACATCATGACATACACGGGCACTTTTGTTAATGCCACTCATGCTCACCACGTACTAATGCACTCGCCATTCACACACGCTGTTCACACGAGCACTCACCACTTTACCACACATCCGATTTGCACGGTTGGCTACGTACGGTGCGAAAGAAGTTCTACATACATGTACATACACATCCTCCTAGTACATGTGGCCCTGCCCTACGGTTGGTGTGAGTCGACATCCATTGATCCACACCAGCCCCTTCCACTGTCTTAATCTCCTGCCCCCCCTCGCTCCTACTCACTCTGTTCGCTGTAAGGGGAACCGGTTTGTGCGTCATGCACACACCCAGTCTGAGTGCCGTCGCGTAGCCATTCGGCGATTCTATTTATCGAACAGCTCATGTGTGCGACCCATGTTTATCTTGAGCGCTCTATTGCAACCTTCATGACTGAGTTCTTACGTAATTTCTTTCAGTTACCATTAATTGCATACACAGTATGTATCTCTACTTGTAATTTTGCTTCGTTTTCGTTTTCCGTGGTTGGTGTCCACGTTTTCGTTTGTTTCCCATGTGCTTTCTCCGTTTTCGTTTTCCCATGTGTTTTCGTCCGATTTGTTGACTGCATTGGTATTTGCATGTCCATGCACGGTTACCCTTCCCTTCCCCCACCTCTACAGCCTATATAAGTCCCGTACGTTATCCCTCCGGGCGTCTTTCTGTGTGTGCCTCTCCATGTGTGTGTGTGTGTCTCTTGGTGTGGTGTTGCTCGTTGTGTCCCTCTGTACTGCCCAAAACACCTTTCCCTGTGTCTTCTCTGTGTATGTATCTCTGTTACCTTGTAGCTCGTGTCTGTTCACGAGTCCTTATCCTCTGTTTACATTGGTGTGTTCAACCTAGAAGATGAACACAAGATTTAGCAGTCTTTTGAAATACATGGTTCGCGTCTCCCATCTTGCTGTATTTGCCTTCGTGTGATGTCCCTCTGTGTGTGATGTCCCTCTGTGTGTTCCCTCGCTGTGTGGTTTACGCCATTTTCACCTGAGGACGAGCGCTTGTGTTGCGTTCGAAACGTGATTTATTTTAACTTTATTTCTACATACGTGACTTTACCGGAAGAACCAATTAGTATATTAATTGCATGTCTTGACTATCGGTTTACATTTATATGTAGGTGAAATGGCTAAATTTTAGGGCTGGGTAGGGTTATGAAGAATGCTGAACAATACAGAAAAATGGTTTTGATATCTTATATTTTTATGAAGGGCCTTGGATTCTAAGAACTTGGATGACTGCATCATTTACCACCAATTATAAAGCGTGGTTTGCTTTGGCAATTGGTATCGTATTGTCTGTTATAGGATCTGGTAGATCTTATATGGGTAATCAAAGATAGGACTAAAACATTTTCCATATCCTACTTGCTGATGTCGTTTGGTTGTCCTCTACATGTTTAATTATTTGGTCCCTATGCTCTTCGTGAATAGTCTACAAGAGGGTATTAGTTTTGTGTACATTCATATCGCCTATGTCGCCTTGTCTAAATGGAATAATGAAAGAGGCATCATTATACAATGGAGGTGTTAAATTTCTGCGTAACTCGCTAATAGATAGGGCTGCTTAGTTGTTCCCACAGCTGTCCTGCTTTCTTCTGGGTCCCCACAGTGAGCCCTTGTATCTATGGAACCTTTTTGCCAGTATTCCTTGCAGAAGGTATCCATTTGCTGTTTGAACATCTTAACACCTATTTTATTGCCAGAAAGGGTAAAACCTATTCTTATTTTTCATACAGTAATTCATTGCGTTCCTGGGAACGTTCAATGTCTTCATTCTGCAAGCGTACAACTTCGAATTAAGTCGATGATGTGTCCGCCCCAAGCTGTTTTCGTGATCTAATTTCCACAACACTTGCATCTGGCAATCGGTGAGTGGAAATATGATGTGGCATTTAAACAGTAGGCTATTTATAATTGTTACTTGGGAGGTTACTAAAATGTTCATCATAGTCAATTATCCTGACAAACGTACGCATAGAACACAGCCGCCCAAGTCCACTTTTGCTGTCTTGTTGAAGACTGCTGCCCTCTGCTTGCCCAAGTGGCGCTACGCAGAGATTCTCACATCCAGCCGAGTGACTCGGGGCACACGTGTTTTTCAGCATTATAGACTTTTGGTGTCACACATTTAGTTTTCATTTCGTTTTCTGAGACTGGGACATCATAACTGCATGATTGATAACTACAGTTTAAAATATTATAATTTTGGATATATTGAAGGTAATTGTATCAGCTTTGTATGCCTCTGAGACTTGTACATTAAAAAAGACTGATAAAGATGATATCTTGGCACTCGAAATGTATTGCTACAGAAGGATACTCCATCTAAGCTGGACCCAACGAGTGACCAACATATAATTTAAAAAAAGGTTACACTTCGAAGAAGACAACCTGATGATGCAGGCAGTGGCACTATTTGGACACATGTAGGATGAACAACAACAGGAAATTTTAAAGTGTTGTTGTTCAGAGGACGACCTAACAGCGAATGTTTTGATGACGACAAGAGATTAGTGCCAGAAAGATGTGGCCACTATTTGAGCATTTTGGCACAAGACAGAGGAAAGTGGAAACAAATGACGAAATGTGCAGTGGACACCTACGGGATATCTGCCCATGGATCGTGATGATGAATTTTAGCATTATAATCTTTAAATTTATGAGACAATGTTAAGTGTTTATCAGAAATGGTGAGTGGTAACATGTTATTGCATTACAGCTGTGTGAAATTACTACATTTTTAGGACTGGGTAGGATCCAATCATCTTTCCTGCGGATATCATGAAGAATGCTGAACAAAGCAGTTTTAAAACGTCTTCCACATAAAATATTCAAATTTTCATTAAATATCAGCCAGGCCTGTTGTTTTTATAGGGCCACTGAGAGCCGTCTATTATTCATATAAGGTAATTGTGTCGAAAATTTGGCGAGGGCTGTCCCGCTTGAAAATACGCATACCGGATGTCATCTGTGAAGGGCTCTGATGGCCCTTGTTATGTCAGGTAGCGTCAGGATTTGCAATCAGTGTCCTCCGTCTAAAATGGGAAGCTCCACTACGTCTGATTCGTTTTTTGTTGATTCATTTTGCATATTATTTTTGGTCTTCAAAAATGTTAATATTCTGCTCACGAAGGTACATGTTGCATACGCAACTCAAACTCACTGTATACATTAAATGTACGAGAAGTGAGCAGGGTATATTTTTGGTATATTTTAAAGCTTTGTTAAGGCTTTTACCCACGTGCTTGGTTTATTTAGCTCAGCAGGGTAATGAAATTCCATGGCAACCCCAATGATGTCCTCTGTCAGGCTCATTCCACAAGCAGCAGGGAGAAGCCAATGGAATGAAAGGAATGTACCAGCTCAGTGAGATGGTAGGGAAGGAGAATTAATTAAGGATTCCTCCTCAGTCACATGTTAGCTTTTAACTGCTTTATTGTGATTTGGTTTTCTTTGATGTTTTTATGAATCCTCCCTATTCTGCCACGTAAGCGTAATGCAGTTGCTGTTCTGGAATAAAGAGATGTAGTGAGCTGCTGTTATTTGCAGAGGCAAAAACTGGGCTCCACCCTTGAAGAGAGAATGATGTAATGGAACTGCGCAGACACTGCAACGAGCCCTTGCTGAGCGCCTACCAGTGGGGTGGGACTGCTCACATGCGAGCAGCGCCGTAGCGTTTACAATGTAGCTGCGGCAAAAAATACCGAGTCTTGGGTTTCTGGGCTGCTTCGTTTTAAATGGCGTGTCCTCCCAGTCAGTTGTGGGTATAATTGATGGCCTGGAGGTTTTTGTTGCAAGCAAAAGGCGACTTGTTTACATCTGCATGTCAATGAAGAAGCGCTCTGAAGCAAGGCTGCTGTGGCAGCGTTGACGACACAAACCGCCCGTGCTGGGCCTGTTGCTCGGCGGGGCCGGGCGTCGTGCCGCCGTGCGCACCGCTGCCCCAGCGGCAGCGATGGGCAGCGTGCAGTCGCAGCAGCCCCCCGGGGTAGGCGTGCAGGAGACGGCCGAGCCACTGTAAGTGCTGCGTGCATCGTGTGCGTAGGCCCGCTTGTCTGCAGATGCACATGCCCCGATTGTGTGTGGGCCTTGTAAAACCAAGGAGACGTTTTGTCAGAAGTGTAGATTTTGTGCTGTTGGGCTGACAGACTATTTACCAAAAAAAATGTCCACAGTGTTTTGCGTTTGTGACTCGGTGAAGGTTGTGGGGGTCACAGGTAGAGCATGCTGCCCGGAGATGCTGTCGAGATGGATTGTTGCCTTCATTTGTGTCACCTCCGTCTGTGTGCTTGCATTGTGTTCAGGTGGAACATCGTCTCAATGTTTCATGGGAAGGCTTACTGTAACAATTGAAAGAGCGAACCATCTTGATTTTAATTTGATTAGTGAGTGTAAGTATAAATTCGATTTTAATGTTTTTAGTTGGAACATTGACAAAAAAAGATTCAAATGTAACATTTTCTGCAGTGAAAGCGGTGTTTGTGCTTTTTTTATTTGGTTATAATTTGAATGATCGCTTGACTGACTGAAATATTTCCAGTTAATATAATAAAAGCCACATTCTAGTACTTATCACGCCTAAGCCAAGAGCTTGTTTTATAGATTAGATCTGCTTTGTTTTCTTCCTGTATCTCCGTGTGTCTGGCTACGAACAGCCAACCACTGCATACAGTACAGCTGTGTTCTTCAACTGGTGGCACACAGCCCAGAGGCAGACCACGGAGCCTCTTGGAGTGGCCCGCTGGGACGTAAAGAGATGCAGATTAGTGAGATGAAAGAGCGATAAACAAGGACTAGAGATGAGAGAGCTGTAGATGATATATACCAATCAGTGGTCACATTTACAGGATGGATCTGAAATATAGATACTGACGAAGAAAATTTGAACAATAACTGAAGAGTGAAAACTCTTTGGTTCTAAATTAATCGTGGATAGGTGCGTGATTGGCATTGCACGGACAGAGAAAAAGGACCACACGGCTCGGAGAACAAACGTCAGTGACGTGGGTTTGGGCAGGACTTGCTGTTGTTGGAAAGGGATCGTGGCTGTTGGTCTTGAGACTGATGAAAGAGTGGAAGCCAAAGAGGACGAGATGCTTAAGAGAGTGTCCGTGAAGGAGATGGAATGGTGAGATAAGTTCCCACGTAGGAGCTGAGTGAATTGTTGCATCGTGTTGCCGTGAGGGATGACGATGACTTGGGGAGGACTCGTCCAGCAGTGGATAGGGTTGCCATGTGATGTTGCGAAGTCTGCACGTGACCTTTGGATGTGCGGACGTTACACGGCGTGGCCCCAGTGGTATGATGCGTTTGCCGCTTGTTGAAGAAGTTGTCGCTTCCAATTTGGCAGGTTGCCTTGGGTAATACCAAAAGAGTAATTACATTTGATGTGCCGGCATAGTTTGTGTGATTTTATTCGGTTTTTTTGGTATTTCTGATTTTCCCAGGAGGGATATTTTCAGAAAATGTCCTCTATTGGTCGATGCTTTGACTCTAAAATTTTGTTTGGATTTACAATAACAAACTGAAATAAATATGTGATAAGCAACAATAGAAATGTGCACAAATTGTCATTGATACTGCACTTTAAGATTAGATTGCGTTTCCTAACCGAGGGGAACTGTGATGAGGTTGTAGACAATGCCCTGCTACCATATAGTATATCACACTAATTATGCATGGCTGTACATCTAATAGAATAATCAATACAGTACGAACATTTAGTCTTGATAATCATTATATGACTCTATACTGTTTTGTGGACTAAGGGATCATTATTTGTTTGTTATTCAAGGAATATCTCATTCGTAATACTTGCTGTTCATTCGCATAAAGTTGACCCTGCTATGAAGGCATTGTTTAGCACTGGTTTTAAACCCTATGGTATTCAGACCTCCCAGTCTAAGACCACTGGCCCCTGTGCCACCAACACTTCCCCCCCCCCCTTTAGTTTCTGGAAGATTTTGGTAACACTAATCAACATTCTCCCAGACGTGTTTTCTTCCTCGGCTGTTAGTCTATCATTAAGTCTTATCCACTGGATATATCATCCCTTTCAGCGGCGTGACCTGCCCATGTGCTCTCACATTTCGTATTCAATCTTCTGGTCATCCTTACTACAGAGCCACTACAGAGCCACTACAGTTGGCAATACTCATAATACAAAGCCCATCAACTTAATTATGGCCCACATCTATGTATAATAAAGTGGAGGATACGTGCTTTCTCTGCCTAGGAATCAATAACGAGGACGTGCTTTTGGTTGCTTTTATATCATGTCCTCATAAGTGCCAGCTTCCCCTAAGCATTTTGCTACAGGCTGGGCTACATTCCTGAATTAAAGAAGGCTGTTGATCTCTTACGTTTTTTGCAGGAGCTCTGATTCGGAAGGTGCATTCGAAACCCCAGAACAAACAACACCAGTCCACGCCGCACATTTTCAGCAGGACGCACTCGACGTTGAGGCTGAGTCTGCACAACTCAACTTGGGAAACCCCACTGGTAAGATGAAATTCGAAGGAGTGCGAGATTGAGAAATGGGGGATATTTGCTTGGCCATTAGTCAATTAAGTACTTTAGGTGGCATGAGGTTGGTTTGATCATTTGTGCCTCTGCAATCCTTCATTCTTTGTGGCAGCGTTATGGGTAGGTGGAATATAATTTGAAAGTGGGGCCTTATCAAGGGTGAGGACAGACCCCTTTTGTAATACAATTCCCAAAAGCAGTTGAGCCTCCAGTAGGCCAATGATGGTAACATCAGGGTAGCGGAACCTTGGAGTGATCCATGACAACCGAGTGACAATTGTACCTACAACAGTGTGGCTGGTTTGGGTAAGTATAGCAAAACCAAAGACAGGTTGATATTATTAGGTTTTTTTTACGTGGCTAAGAATCATTTAGGCCTAAGCTGATTTACAATAATGACCCACAGAAGACCTTGGTGAGAATAAGTCAAGTTAAAGCAGTGAATAAATCACAACATTGAGTAGCAAACGCATTCGAGAAAAACAACATTTAAGTCGTGCACCACTCAAGCAGCACTGGCAGTAGGTAACACAGAAATATAACGCCAACTGGCATGGGGTTCACGAACCACTTGCGCAAGAAAAGGGATAGCTAAAGGAATACTTTTAAAAGGCCAGGGAAGGAAGAGATTCCAGCTGAAACCACCCAGTGAGCTCGTTCCAAAAGTGAACAGTGGCAACTAAATGACTCCTCACCATAGCCGGATCTCACAACAGGTACATTAATGAGAAGTTTCGAGGAGCTTCTAAGGCAGCGTGATGAGGACTGCAAAGAAATGCGGTCACGGAGGTATTGCCTGATTTGTTTTGGAGCCTCCAATAAGCGAATGGTAGCACAAACATTGGGAGAGGGTTATCGACTGGCCCATGTTTCACCATAAACCAACCACTATGCCATGAGTTCAGATACAAGTTCGACCCCCAGCTTGTTTAAGCATTCCATGAGCAGGCCATGTATCCGAGATTTAGGTACAATATAAACGACAGAAACATGTGAAAATATGGCAGCAAACAAGACGGACGTAATAGGAATGACACAAATGAGAAAGACGGCACAAATGGACAGTGAAAATAACAGCCAATACAAACGAGGCGGTATGCATGAGGCAGGCCCTACACATTAAATGATACACACGGTACAAATAAGACAATATTTCTGACACCATAGAGAAAGTAAAAAGAGAGCGAGCGTACACAGCAGGGGGTGGGAGAAGCTGTGCTGGAGGCTGTTGAAGCAGAGGTGGTGTGTGTGCGGAGCGGGGGGGTTCACTGGCAGTGTGGGGGTCGTGTTCGGTGGCCATTGATACGAACTTCAACCACGGAGCGGGCACGACCGTGGCGCCCGTCAGCTTCTCTACAGCGTAGTGGAGAGGAGCTTTTGCTGAAACTCACTTCATTGGTCCTTGCTGCGTTTCACTTCGTATGCTGTCTGACTGCATTTAATATATATACACACTTGGCATATTGGACAACAATCATTATTATTCTTCCATTGGGTGGTGGCTCTAAAATATATGAAGATGCATACTCTGACATCGTTGAATGTGACATGTTAAGTGCAGGTACAGTGAGAGTTTTGGCTGAATAGAGCAGACGTATCCGATTACCGCCCGTTTATATTTCTCATTTGATAGTGGTGATGATCTGTACGGACCAATCCTGCTTGAGATTGGATTGGCCCATACTGGCTTTACAGGATTAAAACACATCTAGGCATCCGGTTACCTTCCCATTGTTTACCTTTCGGCAATTATCTACATGTTGCTAACAACAAGAACTACCTCCTGAGTCCGACACTCAGAGCTCACCCGAGTTTGTGAATCGAGGCAAGCCCTGGGTAGTGAAGCGTGGGGACTGGGAGCGCAACGGTTAGGGCCACTGCGAACCCGGCGACCTGAGTTCTTTTCCTGCTCAAGGTCAACACCAGTAAGGATTATCTGAACCAGTTCGGGCCTCCCCTAGGTCGACTCACCCTCAAATTAGTACTTTGTGCGGTGTGTAAACTTCGTCGCCTAGAAGACAAATGCAGCTAAGCATGGTGCTCGCCACCCACCCTCTCGCTAAAAGCACTTGCCCCAAAATTCTGTCAAGGCTATAAGGGGAATCTTTGTCTTGTCCTGGGTACACGAGATAGTATCATTCCTCAACTCTGCCAGTGGGATCATTAATATTGATGAGCGTGCAAGGTGTCTTCCTGGTGGGCAGAGCAGGAGACATTAAGTGTCTTTACTCGCAGGCCACCACTCACCCGCTAATTCATCATCATGACCAGCCATGAATCGTGCGACAATTTTGATGTGACGTATAATTGAGCATCATTTATCCTCAATATTAATATAATTTCCATGTATAGCATATTGCATCTTATTTTTGGTAGCTGCGTCCGTCAAAGATCTGGCTGCCTTCTTGAACTTTAGCACTGCTTAAGCCTCTTTTTAAATGGCTGTCTTTTGTGTTCCTTCGTTTAATAGAATGCCAATGCGATGTATTTCAGTGCAGTTGTTTTTTCATAAGCAAACATTTTTGTTGCACAAAGTTGATTGTTGAATGAATGCACTTATCTGATTTATTTTAAAAAAATGTCCAAAATGAGCTTTACATCAATTGGTGTCTTTAAAACGTTTACAAAAGGTGTTAATTCATTATAAACTTTATCCCCTTTTTGCAGATTTGTTTCCCGAGTGTTTTGCGACCTCGTTAGAAGCATCTGCGAGTGCGCAGCTCCCCCAGGAGGCTCCACAGGAGACTGCTGTGGACGCCCCGTGCGGAGCGCCTGTCGAAGCGGACGTTGCCATTCCCCTTGAAGACTCCCTGGCAGCTCCTACCAGCCCAAAACTCTTTGATGAGAACGAACCCATTGCCAGTAAAGGAGCCTACGCCCTTGACTTTGAAAACCTTTGCAGCAATGTCCTTTTTGAGGGGGTATCCCAGGTGGAAAGGGAGTGTGGCCAAGCACTGAACCGACTGCTGGAGCCTTCTTTGACCGGAGAGAAAAACCCCACCCCAGATGTTGATACTTTTGTGCAACAACCTCATGCACTGGTACTGAAGGCAAGTCCTCGGGCAAAGAAGACAAAAACGCAAGCTGATAAAACAGCCATAATTGATGCTTCTGCAAAACAGGAGGTTGCACTGAAAACTCATACAGACACTGCTGAAAATGGACCAGGGGAGTTGCCATTGAATGGCAATTTCCCAAATGTGGAATATTCTTCAGTTGCAAATCCTTTGTGTAGTTCCTCTAGTGCAGAAGATTTTGGTTCTGTACATGAGAACAACATGATCACATCAGAGTTAACTATTCCTGCAATTCCCTTGGAGGAAAAGAGCACTGCGTTTGTTTTGGACCACTTACTGCATCAGCCAGCTGCAGTTCACATTGATAGTCCTTCAAGTGCTGGAGGACAACATTTTGATGCAGACATCGTTGGTGCTGTCTCTGCAGAAACCAACCTACCGCAGTCTCCACAGCTTCCACAAGCTTCTTACACGTTCGATCCCTACAGCTACGATGATTCTGTCAACCCATTTCAAATTGGAGGATCCAAATTACAGAATTCTCCTCCTTTTGACCGCAAGCAAGCTTCCGCTGCAGCCTTTGCTGAACCAGAAGCACAGGTAGTTACCTCTCAGCCAGAGAAAGGGGCTGTTAAACTTGAGTTTGACTTCTCAGACAACAAAGAGAACGCAAATGACCCTGAAAAGAAGCACACGCCACCTAAAAGGTTGGGTAGAAAACCAGGAACAAAGGTGTTGCCTAAGAAAAAGACCACGCTCAAGAAACCAGCTGTGGTGCACAATGTTCCACCTGTTGCCGAGGCTGCAGTAGCTGCAGATGTTGAGGAAATTCTATTGTCTAAAAGTTCCTACGAATTGGACTTCTCCAAACTCGATGACCCCAACTTTAATCCGTTTGGTGGAGGGCCAAAGATGCAGAATTCGCCCAAGCTGCCTCGTGCTTCCTACACTTTCGATGCGGACAACATTGAAAGTGAGAACCCGTTCAAATCCTCCACGAAGATGTGTTGTTCCCCACCTAAACCCGCTGGCTTTGAGATCCCACCTGATATGGGGACCTCTGTGGAAGCCGAAGACTCCACCGCCCCTGTTGCACCTGGGAAGTCTCCGCTGAAAAAGAAGAAGCAGCCAGTAAAAACGTACGTATAGAGAACTGTTGTCGTGCAACATAGCCTTACGTTACACAGACACCTTGGACAGAAATAAAGGGATGTAACAGTTTGCTTACATCGTGAATTCACAAATGTTGGACTGAAATGCGAAAATGTGAAAAGAGATATATTAATATGTGAAGACTAATTGTAATGCATTCTTAAATCTTGGATTATCAGTATCTATAAATGTAAGTGCAGTCGACTGGATGTGCGCTAATTGTAGAGGACTCGGCTAATTGCATACAAGCAATTTTGACAATTGAGAATTATTTAAAACCAATCCGATTTTGCATTTGAAGGCCAAGGGAAAGGTTGGACTAAGCTGGAAGTGATAATAGGAGTGTGGTACAGCAGAAGGAGTGCAGACATGCCATAGTCTTGATCATAGAATAAGGAACACATCCATCCCACTGCTAGTCATAGGTAATCATTGCTGTACTCCATTCCAGAGCCGAATTTGGCACCGCCTGAAGTGGCACGTCTTTAGTAGTCCCCATTTAGTTATGTGGCTGCTAATTGTGGGTTATTTGATAACCCACTCATTTGAAATGGTAATCACGTTATTAAATGTTGATGGCCACATCAAGCAATTGTAACCATTGAAGTTATGCCACATCACATTTGACTGATAAATGAGATATCTGGTCTAGGCTCATGGACGACATGTGCCTACAGTTTATAGTGTTTAACAGAGCTATTGAAAGAAATAGTTCCATTCATTTGTGTCCATTTTTGCATCCATTAATTAATTCCTCTTGTACCTCCAAAGATGTGTTTTTCTACGTGTACCAGGCAGGACAGTCATGACTCGTGTGTTTATCTTTGTGCCTAATGTGTTAGGTCAGAGTGTCCTCCATGTTCAAATGAACATTTGGCAGTGCTCATCCCTGTTGATTGTCCGCAGTCAGTGGTGGGAAATTTCACATTCCTACAGCAGGGACCATCAGCCACATAGAGGACAACAACCTCAGTGTTGACATCTCACCGTAATGGTGCAGCCTCCCCCAGTGGTGCAGCCTCCCCCTGTCGTGCAGCCTCCCCCAGTGGTGCAGCCTCCCCCAGTGGTGCAGCCTCTCCCAGTGGTGCAGCCTCTCTCAATGGGCTTTGCGTGACAGACCTTGCACAGGTGGCCAGGCTACCTCAACCATGCCTGAAATGGAATTTGAGGTCTCACTTATATAATTTGTCATTTTTAATTCATTCCATTAATCTACATGCCTGTAATGGGTACGGTTTTTTCAAAAGCGAATGCATTTTCAAAGAAAAAACTTGTGTATCTGATGATTTATATTGTCGAAAGCTAGCAACCAAGCATGCCACGTTATATAACAGTACATTTTTTTATTTAAAGCTTTCGTTACTGCAGGGATTCATATTCTTGGTTCTTTCGGTAAAGTCACGTAGAAGGGAAACAATAAAATAGTAAAAATATAAAACAAAATTCTCACGACGTTTTGACTGCAACACAAGCAATCATCATCAGGTGTGAAAACCACAGCAAGAAAATTTGAAAAAAGTGGCAGTTATATTTTTTTCACTGGAAAAACCACCTCTGCGGTACAAAATTCTACTCACCTGGTATCGACAATCAAGGGTATTTCCCTGTCCCCAGACGACCTGCTTGTCAGTTTTGATGTAGTTTCCTTATTCACCAAAGTTCCTGTACCTGACACCATTGCAATCATTGAAGACTTGGTTCATCAAGGACTAAACACTGAGGTACCCCCCCTGGTGAGACACTGCTTAACCAATACATACTTCACTTGGAATGGAACTTTCTACAAACAAAGGGCACCCCAATGGGCTCCCCCCTATCTCCGGTTGTAGCCAACATTTTCATGGATAAATTTGAGACTGACGCCATCCAGACTGCCACTCTACGCCCAACCTTATGGAAGAGGTACGTGGATGACACTTTGTCATCTGGCCACATGGCCGGCCTGCTCTAGACCAATTCTTCGACCACATCAATTCCATACACCCAGCCATCAGATTTACCATTGAAGTCGAAAAAGATGGCAAGCTACCTTTTTTGGATGTCCTAATAAAAAAGAGACCTGATGGTTCAATGAGCCACTGTCTACAGGAAAGCTACCCATATGGATGCTTACCTGAAACCGGATTTCCACCACCATCCATCCCAGAAGAATTCCCTCATCAAGACTCTGCACCATAGAGCCCAATGCATATCCGATCAGGAACACATAGCCAGTGAACTCAAGCACGTACACCAAGCTCTTAAGGCTAATGGTTACTCCGACTATACAATCCGCAAAGCTATCACTCAAACCATGAAGAAGGACCCTCTCAAAACCATGACTTTACCCTACATTGCGGGGATCACAAAAAGATCTCCAAAATCTTGAATAAACACAAGATCCAGGTCCGTTTCAACACATTACATAAAATCCGTGATCTGGTTCCGTCTGTAAAAGATGTGATTCCGGACATACAGTACCCTGGCATCTACAAACTTAGTTGCCTCTGTGGTAGTAGTTACATTGGAGAAACCAAACGCCATGTCTCGGACCGCATTCGTGAACACAAAGCAGACCTTAAACACGGTAGGACCAACACCTCGGCCGTGGCAGATCACTGTTATTATTCAGTAGGCTCACATGACATTGACTTCTCCAAGACAGAGGTTTTTTGCAAGCCATCTGGCTACCATGAGAGATTCGTTCAAGAGGCTATCCATATATACAAATACAGTGACAATTTCAACCGAGAAGATGGATTCTGGCTTAGCAATCATTGGAAGGATTTGATAAACCATTTCGGGTCTTAATTGATTGTTCACGCTTACGGTGGCTTTCAGACCGCATCCATTATTTTCGTCTCTCCCCTCCTCTTTTCCGAACATATATGGACTCGTCCATCTGAACAAACTGTCAAATCGCTCTCCGTGGTGCTAACGTTAAAAAATAACCGCCACTTTTTTCAAATTTTCTTGCTGTGGTTTTCACACCTGATGGTGATTGCTTGTGTTGCAGTCGAAACGTCGTGAGAATTGTATTGTTTTATATTTTTATTGTTTCCCTTCTACGTGACTTTACCGAAAGAACAAAGAATATAACAGTACAATTATCAATATAAAATAATGTAAATCTTTTAAACTAAAACCAAACTTTTTATTTTACCAGGTAAGGTCCCACTGAGCTATATAGCTCTTTTCAGAAGCGATCTGGCCACAAATGATATGTAATTAAATGTTTAATACTATTTAAATATCAGAATGACAGGTCAACACACATGTTCCTATTTAAATATATATTACAATAGTACTAATAGTGAAACATGTACAATTTTCAGGTCAATAGTTTGGCTAGGGGAAGAGGGTAGCTGGGAGGTGGGTTGCAGAGGGAGAGGGTAGCTGTGGGGGTGCAGAGGGAGAGGTTAGCTGGGGAGGGGCGGTGCAGAGGAAGGGGGTCGCTGGAGGTGGGAGGAATGCAGAAGGAGGGAGAGGGTAGCTTGGGGGTTGTTTAGGGACTCGATTTGTTTTCCAAGAGCTGCTTGTGGTGCAATTTAAATACCACATCCTCCTGCTGAGTGTCGGGCTGTCCAATGTCTTGCCCACAATTATGTTTTCCAGTCAATGATTAATCACTGGGAATTTTATTGCTATTGAGATTTTGATATGACTCTTTAAGTTGCTCATAGGCCAAACAATTTAAGAACTTGTGGACTAGATGATTTCAAGACATGTTTTTTTCTGTGAATTATTCTCACTACATCATACACAGGAATTATGTCGTAGTTTTTTTATTTTGTTATTTTCTTTGCACCTATATACATGGTTTTACCGAAAGACCCAAACAATATGAATAGTAATTATGTCACATTGTAACAATTCTGAAATCACTAATCTGGCAAAAAATGTAAACACACCAATAAATCAGGAATGTGCATGAACTGAGAGTAAAATAAGACGTTTACATTTCAGCTTTACAAACTGATTACCAGGTGGGTCATTGCATAAACTCGCCACACTGTACACCCTGCCTCCATCTCATTCCCCCCCCCCCTCCAGTTGTGTCATTAGTGCGGTGTCAAAATGGTTTTCAACTTTTATGGTGCAACCAAAGCTTGTGTGGTTAGGAGAGGCACCGTAGTTTGGGCAGAGTTGTCTTTTTGGTTCCCCTCTTTTTTTCAATGCCATCCACGTTGTTGGAGTGCATTCACTGGAACAGGAGATGTGGGAGGGGCAGCAGAACATGGTGCCACGGTGGCGAGATGTTAACTACATCGCCTGGTATGCAGGAGGTCGTGGGTTTCATCCTGACCCTGACGTCTGCTGTATATTTGAAATTTGGTCTCGTGGATTTTTGTCTGGGTCCTCCGGTTTTTCCCGCCATATTTAGAAACATGCGTTTATAGTAATTGGGTGCAAAAAAATTCCACACGATAAGCCACTTCGTTGAGCTATAATGTGTGGCCAGGTCGCTTCTGACAAAGAGCTACATAGCTCAGTGGGACTTAGCTGGTGAAATAAAAATAAAAATTTACATGCAGGAGTTACAATGGATCGCTGGGGGGGGTTTGTGTGTTCGGTTGATGGTTGTTGACCGTGAAGACCTCAGCTGGGGCATTGCAGATTTGGGAAGTTAGGTACTGAGATGGGGAATGCGAGGGGCTTTGAGGGGAGGGTTCCAAAAAACGAAATAATTATATATTTTATCCATTCCTACGTGCATATATTGTGAGCGTTTATTAAGAATACATTATTTTAAACTTGATTATCTTGGCAACATGCGATGACATGCAGTCATTTGTGTCATCACAGTGTTAGGAAATTTTGATATTGAGGTCGTAGAAGGCTGTATTTAGTAAATGTGGTGTTATGCGTTGACGTTTTTATTCATTTGTGGTCAACGGATATTGATCCTTTTGCGGATATACATTGGAATTGACTCACAAGATCAAACTTTCATAGACCAATGTCCTTGACTACAATACCGGTTTACTCAATTATTGTCTCAGCCAATGCGTCCAAAGTGCAAAAACAAATGTCTCTTCACCATTACATCCCACAATCACAACGTCTTTAAGCAGGAATTTGTCCCCCTGTGTAATTTCTCTCTCCTGCTTGTGGCCATAAACGGAGAGCTGTACAACCCTTATGAGAAGAGCTCTTTTTGAAAGAAAAAAAAGTAAGATGATAGCAATATACGACTTTTTTAAACTTAAAAAAAACTATTAATTATTTTTATTTACCCGGTAAGGCCCAATGAGCTCGAAAGCTTTTTGTTCAGAAGTGACCTGGCCACAAATGACAACTCAGCAAAGTGGCTTATCACGTGGAAATTTATAGCAGCCAGATACTCTAAAAGCACGTTGATTCTAAATGTGGAGGGGAAAACCCGGAGGACCTGGATAATAATCCACGCGACCGCAGGGAGAACATGCAAACTTCAAATACAGCAGGCGTCAGGGTTGGGATCGAACCCACAATCTCCTGTATACCAGGTGAGGTAATTAACATCTCGCCACCATGGCGCCCTTATTAACCTTAACCTGATCAACATCGCGAAACCTGAAACTCGGCCCCAGTAACTCATTGTGGTCGTTTTTGGTCAGAGGGTGAAAGCTGCAGAGGGTGCTCGGTCCACGTTGTTGTTTACTTGTTAAGCGCGCACGTGCGCACGTTGACGTGCTCCGTGGAGAAAGCCACCACCACCCCACTCGACTGAGGTCTTCGCTGCTGCGGAGCTTCCTCTTGCGTTAGGGACCGGGCTTGGCTCGTGGGCATTGACTTCAACAACAATAGCCGCCATTCGCTACTAAGTGGCAGTGACGTCACCACGGCGCCTGTGCCAGGCCAGGTGCACTTAGAGGCCATGTGAAGTGTCGAACACTCGCTGACCGGAGGTCACGGGACAGACCCAGGTGCCATGGGTTGACTGAGATGACTGGCAGATGCACCAGCTGTGACTGCACACGTGATACAAAACCCCCGATTAAGTACTCGTAACAGCCTCAGGTACGCAATGCACCGAGGGTTCCAATGCCTGCTTGTACTTAAACGTACGGCAAATAAGTGATAAATTAGTGAATGCTACCTTACATTTTGATTAAATTAAAGTATAGCATGCACCTGTGTGATTTGCTCTGAAAGTTCAAACCTCGACATTCCAATTCCTGTGATTGACTTAATGTCCTCTGTCTTGTCTAAACTCTTGTCTTTCTTTTTTGTATTAATGCAGCGGCACATTAGAGGGCTTGAAGTATTTGTGTTCTATGTTGTAAGTACTGTGTTTGTTTCGCTACACGTGTGCTTTGTTTCCCCCTCGCACACATGGGTTTTCTCTCTGGTGAAGCTGCATAAGTGTCGCTATAAAATATATTCTTGCATTTGGTAACATCCATGATGCTACAATGTTTTGCCACCATAAATCAGTGCTTCCTAGCCCACCCTGCTCATGGCCTTGCTGTCTTTTTAAAATAATAAAAATTGAGCTGACGTTAATATGAGGATCGCTCAGAAAGTAATGCCCCACATAAAGAAAAAATATTCCCACTAGAAGATGATCAAACTTTCAGTGAGCTGTAAGATTTTACTTTTCCACTTTTCACAGTTTCAAAATATGCCTACCAATAGACCCTCAACAATTAGTGGTCAAAACGCCATTGAGCAGCCATGTGCATCGCAAACAAAGAGCTGGAATTGAGTTTTAGACTGCAGAGAACGAGTCAGTGGGGCAACGTTCACAAAAGGCTAAAAACCGTCGACGGAGACGAGACTGTGAACAGAAGAAGCACTGCTAGGTAAAGCGAGTACACATTTACAGACGACGAGGTTAGTGAGGTGATAAAGTGGCTTTGAGAGGCAGGACAGGACTTTCGCTGGCAATTAATACACGCCGCCTTTTCTTGATGACGTAAAACCATTGACGGTGGAAGGGGATTATATGTAAAAGTAATGGGCATGTAGCCAATACCATCTGCCAATTTTGTGGCTAGGTTTCACTTTTCCTCTACATTTTGGCTGAGATAAAAAAATAAAATGGGGCATTACTTTGTGAGCGACCCTCGTACGTGGCGGGGACAGTGGCGGTGTGCGTGGTCTATGACCACGTCTCCTCCCAAATGAAGCCGATACTCCCACGGGGTTTCCAGCTCTAGATGGTCCTAGGATGCTGCTTCCCTACCCTAACCCTCCACCCACAGTCCAATGTCATTCTAATGTGGGCTCAAATATACCCAGACGATTACGTTGGGCTTGATCTTCCTGGTGCTGTGTAATCTGATGCAAACTTTGACCTGACTATCCCAAAGGCATTGTGTAGCTTACTCATACATTACAAAACACACATCTGATAATTTTTTACTGTTTCTCCATTTCCTTATGGCTAAATGTAACGAAGGAGGTGGCTGGGTGCCTTGACTCAGTGTGTCGTGGGTTGGATGCCTCAGCCTGGTCATCAGTGACTGCACCAAAAAAACATTTCATTGTGCACTTCATTGCGGGCAAATTTGAGCTCTTAAGAATTAATAATATGTTAGACTGTCATAAAACAAACACTAACCCTCTTATTACATGGCGGTTGAGAAGATGCTGCTTCCTACCATGTAGACCGGAGGTCACTTGAAGGGATCTAATAGATAGCTCTCTGATATCTTCTTCCATGGGCCTTTCGCTTACAATAAAGGGTTGCACTGCTCTGCAAGAAACCCGAATCGATAATGCCTCATGAGATAATATCGACAACACAATCGGGATGATTTTTTTTAACTGTAGGAAGAGGATTAATTTCCCCCCTTCCGATGTGTTGTGTGTTTACAAGCCCTGTGTGTCATTGACACACGGTCACACTGTGTCAGCCACATCACCTGAGTTGGTGCACCCTTGCTTAGCAGCACCAGGCACAGAGCACGTTCGTAGTCAGCCACCTTCATTGGTGCTTTCAAGCAGCGGCAGTACTGGCTGCTGCTGCTGCCCTTTCTATTTTAAGGTGGCCACGATGGCTCATTTCTGCAATTGACAACTATTCAGGTGGGGTTGATGGATTGTGCAGAGGTCAGTATTTCTGTCAACTCCCAACCTGCTTGGCTCTTTGATACTCATGAAATGGCAGTCCATATATTCCTGAGCATTATGCCCATGTTTTATATTTGAATCTTATTCAGTGATGCCCTACAGCCAAAACATCGTCATTTCCAAAATTGCCCAAAAATTAAGCACTCTCCTGGGATATTCTTGACGCTTGGTTCAGGCGTCTCTATGTTAAAGGGGTTAGTAAATGATCAGGGTTCATGGTCTCAGCTGCCACCTCAATTCCTGAGAACAGGCATAATTATATTTCATCTGAACAGGACAAATTGGGCCAATTTAAACCTGGGATTTAAGTTATGTAACTAGTTTACATGAACAGATACAAGTGCTTATTTTTAGCCACCTGATTGTAGGATACATTGGTCCGATTTGCTGCAGTAATGGGTTTCATTGGCTGAAAAGGACAGCCAAGAGACGTTTTAATGGAAAATAATCTTAGGAATAGGAGATACGAGAAAAGCAGCATTGCAGCCATCCAGTTGCCGTCGATCGCTGGCAACATACTGATGTTGCCATGTTATAGTCGGAAGCTCTCTTGATGAGTAATGTTGTAGATCATGGGATAAGTGGCGAATGGCGCTTTTCACGAGTGAACAGGCTGCACCATGTGTGCCACAGCTCGTTCGTAATAGTTCATGATGCGCTTTACCGGAGCAGCATTTACAGGCCCGGTCTGTGTTTAACGTGAGGCGTGCACAGTCAACGCCATGCTTCAGGCTGGAACATTATTTGCGTGGGTTGTAGAAAATTTTAAGATGTGCATTGAAAACAGTTGAATTCGTCATTAATTATGAATATTATTACCCTTTCAGGGGTACCTTTAAGGTGAAGAAATCTCCAAAAAACTCTCCTGAAGAAATTCCTCAAGTAAGCACTACCCCCCTTATATGACATCACTGCCTGCGCCATGTTGTACACCTATTGTACTTGGGGTCATCTCTTCTCAGCTCCAGTTAATTTGGTGGCAGGGGGGCACAGCGGTAACACTTCTGCCTCGCAGCAAGAGCAGCCTGGGTTCGATTCATGACTTATGGACCTTTTATCCAGATTCTGTGTTCTCTCTCCCCCTGCTCTGCGTGGGTTTCCTCCCATAGTAAAAATAAAACATACAGTGTAACTGGCATTGGCCAAACATCCCAATGCTGAAAAATTACTCCGTTGGGATCACACAGAGCAGCAACATCGCCCCCCTACTCCGAAATCTTGGCAGGACCCTCCTGAAAACGAGTCTTGAGACTCGGTAAGGCTTTCCTGGGTGAAATAGCGTGGCAATAATAATAATCAACTATAATAATTGTGCGTGATGCTTCGTGCCGCTTGCATGGTCATTCATTGTACCCTTACGGGTATAACTGTGCCATTTTTCCACAGGATGACCTTCCCCTGGATGACGTCCCGGTGGACATCCACGTGTCGGGCCGTGCCACCGACGAGGAGAAGCTCGCTTCCTCGGCGGCTGCGGCCAGTCACAAGATGGCGCAGGGCTCGCAGCCTCTCCCGGAGCCGGCATTCTCCGAGGCCGCAGACCTCGAGGCGTTGATCGGTGATGACGAGTTCCGGTCGGCTGCAGAAGGTCAGCCTCTCGGACATTAACAGCTTCATGGTTGCCACGGTGATGAGATATTAACTACCTCGCCTGGTATACAGGAGCTCGTGGGTTTGATCCCAACCCTAATGCCTGCTGTATATTTTGAATTTGCATGTCTCTCTCCCCCCGTGCTCGAGTGGATTTTATTCCGTGTCTTCCGGTTTTTTCCTCCACATTTAGAAACAGGCGTTTAGACTTTGGCTGCCATAAAATTCCATGTAATAAGCCACTTCGTTGAGTGATCATTTGTGATTGCCAAGTCGCTTCTGAAAAAGAGCTCAGTGGGCTTTACCTGGTAGTGTAGTTTGTTGTATAGCCCTGTTTCACTTTAGCATGGGATGAGTTACGCATCCCCAACAACAAGCTAATCAAAGCAATACAATTATTTGTGTTAGAAGCAACGGATTTGTGTTAACCGTGGATGGTAATATTAACATGCTGTAAGTAAAATTATCCCTGGTCTCCTGGGGTAGAATATTAACTTGGAGCAAGAAAGCCATATGCTGGATTGAGACACCCATCTGTTGATGTACACATTATATGTCAAAAGCTCAATATGCGAGCGTTACTTTCTGAAATTCCCACGGTAATATTATTGTCATGCTTAAACGATAAGGGTGAATGCCAGCGCTCTCACACTTGATCTTAAGAAATCAAATGGAATTCATAATACAAGTCTAAGCATTGTGCATTTTTCTCTAAAGTCCACAAGTTTCAAGCTTCATCTCATAAACCAACATTTGTCTTTGATTTATGATTGCTATGATTGTAACAATGAGCTCTTTCATGCCCTCCTAACATTGACTTTCTTGCCTTATCTTTCTGCTATGTGTAAATGCATTCGATTAATTTTTTTATGTAAATGTTTTTTTTCAGTTCCAGGGTTTGACCAGCCTATAGACTATCTTGAAAAATTTGGATCCACATCATCTGTAAGTTTGAAAGTCACTGACCACTACATTATAGCTGTAAAATGTTTTGCTGGCGATTTATATATTTGTATATACTTGATCCAATCAGTCATCATCAGGTGATGACTGTTTGTGTTGCAGTCGAAACGTCGTGAGAATGTTATTGTTTTATATATATTTTATTATTTTATTGTTTCCCTTCAATGTGACTTTACCGAAGAACCAAGAATATACATCTAATGTTTGTCACTGGTACTGCTCTTGTATGTGCATTCCACGCAGCACACTGGAACTTTTTTGATACCTTTTAATTCTACCATGCTTGTTTTATCTCCATTTTAGAATTTGCTGAATGATCAATTAATATCGATACATTGCTCTCACATGTCATTGCAAGCATAACTGAGCAGTGTTTTGTATACATTGTTTCAGTTTCAGGAATCTGCTCTAAGGAAGCAATCTCTCTACCTGAAGTTCGACCCCTTGCTCCGAGACAGCCCAGTGAAGAGCATCTGCCAGCGACCGGAAGCTTTGTGAGTCTTTGTCAAACGCTCCGTGGTGTTGCGCTGTGCATGCAGCCAAGTGCACGTTATTGGGGTTCTAATAATTGTGTTTGAAGAACATGTTTTTCTATTCATATTCTTATGTATCTTCTCAGTATGCATTGGAACACCTATTTGTCCTGGTATCTTCAAATTACAACAATGTGAGGGCCCACAAGATCCACTGTTTTCCGTGTTACATGCAGATCCCCAAGAAAATGATGATAATGAGATTAGCAAATTTAAAAATGTCATCGTCTAGCAAAACCACGGAGAGATTTTATTTTAGCGCTGTGAAGTCCCCTGCATGTGTTCTCTGGCGCCTGAAGTCCCGCGTGTGATGGAGCGCGCCGCACGTTCGCGCACCCAGACTAACGTTACCCACAGGAGGAGGAGGTGTCGGCGTCGTTCTCCCCGTTCCCCACCATTCCACACAATGTCCTCGTCACGTTGCTTTCCGAGCTCGCAATCCGGTCGTAGTGGCTTCCCCCCGCCGCCCGCTCCTCACCGGTGTGTCGGGGTTCCCGTTGGCCGCGTTCACAGGGAACCGTCGGCGGCGCTGGCCCAGCACGCGGGGGGGGTGGCGGCCGCCCTGGAGGCCGAGCTGGCCAAGCGCAAGGGCGTGGCGGAGCTCCTCGCCGTCTCCCCGCTCAAGACGGACACGCTGGTGGTGGGGCACGCTCGCACGCTCGCTTCTCTCGCAACATCGGTCAGAATACTTTAACGTTTTTAACGTAATGGTCTTTTTTTATGTCTATCAAAAAATAATCGTGTTTTTTGCGTACGTGCGCGTGCAGAACATATCTACCTGGGAAAGTGCAACTACGGAGGAGTTGCTTCCAGAAATTGCAGAGAAAAACCCAGCCGCCTTTGCACTGAGGCTTCAGGTATGATTCTGTACAAGCAAACAGTGAAACCACGGTGACATAAACAGGACCATCACCGCCTCCTGCCAACTAAGTACTTGATGCTTTCCTGGTTAAATAATTTTAGTAGTAGTAGTAATAATAATCATCTTGGCTTATCATATCTTCTGATTTAGCATGTGACATTTTAATTAAAATGTTCACCAGTAACAAATGACTGTCATAGCAAACATACATGAGTGATATTCTCAACACTTGCGCTGAAAAAGACCATATCCTGTTCAGCTGAAAACAGATGGATCAGAACCAGCAGTGCTTGTGATCTTATCAGGTAAGGCCCACTGAGCTAAGTAGCTTTTTTTCAGAAACGACCTGCCCACAAATGATAGCTCAACGAAGTGGCTTTTCACATGGAAATGTATAGCAACCACATACTCTTAATTGCATCTTTTTAAATTTGGAGGGAAAAACCGGAGGACCCAGATAAAAATCCACGGGGAGAGAGAGAGAGACATGCAAACTTCAAATATACAGGCATCAGGGTCGGGATCATAGCCACGACCTCCTACATACGAAACGAGGTAGTTAACTTCTTGCCACCGTGGCAAGATGTTCTGCTCTCTATAGGACTTGGCAGTGCTTTATTCTACATGCCTCGCCATGCCCGGGGAGCATGGTTTCCATAAATCCTGGAACTAGAGGGCCAGCCTTGACGGGGACCGCCCTCCGTTTTGGGATCGCCTCCCGTGTGTCTCAGCTGTACATTTCTTCAGCAAGCAAACCGGAATCATTTGAGGGTTCTTTGACTGGGAAACGTGTTGTGGTCTATAAAACCCACCACTGGTAGATGTGTTATTGAATCACTCGTGTGAATTTTTTTACAACTTCTCCCAACCGCAAATAACAGTGATGTTTGCCTTTGTGAATGTTTTTAAGGACTCCCATTGAGTCACAACGACCTAACATGGCACTTTGTATCGTTTCCATCTTTCACCAATTATCTTGAATGTGTTTTTTGACATCCAGGGATGGGATTGAAGTGTTTCTCTTCTGCAACATGTGAATGTACAACAGCATTCGAACCTGATTTATTGGTAGAGGTCACTGTTCTGTTGTTTTATGTTCGGTTTTGCATTTGTCACATGATAAATGTTCTTCTCAAAGCAAATGAGCTACTCAGTAAAGAGATGCTGAGTAGCTCACCCAACTCATTTCGTTTGCTCTTCGTGTGTCTTTGGGCCCTGATGCTTGATTCTGATTACCAGTCCATGATCCTTTCTCCCTTTCTGCCTCTTTGCTCTTCCGTTATGCGCTTTTGGCTCATACTCTGTTGCCCTGCTCTCGTGCCCCATCCCACTCTGTCGATGGCTTGGTCCACTACGCTGTTGCTATTTATTGGGTGGACTGGGGAGTGCAGGAGAAGTTACAGCTGGCTGCGGTGCAGCTGGAGGCCTTTCATTTAGACAGCCATCAACGGACCCTCTCCCCAAACATCCCCCTAGAGTGGCAGGTACAGTTTGCCAGCCGCAGATTGTGCCTGCAGGCAAGTCTGACTTTAATAGTCGAAATAATGAGCGTTTTAACTCGGACGTGAATCCCTGCTTGAATTGAAATAACTCCGATGGCATTTTAAGTGGCACTCGTAATTCACTCGCTCACTTTACACAAGACACGTGCAGGATCCGTTATCTCTTGGTGAAAATGTGCGGCAGTATCTGTGATGGGCAAAGGTTGATCAATTAATTCACTCAAATATATTCAGCTCCCAGACAATTAAGGAAAGGGTGGAGTTGATTGGGAGGAATTTGTAGGAGAGCATGGCATTATCACAATGAATGTGTGGTATACACGATATTGCCACTTTTTTACATGCAACAATAAGTATAATTACAGGATTTCCTTGTGAAAGAACACGTTTTACTCATGCTCTTAGCACTGGCGCTGATGTGAATGTTGTATTTACTTCTCATGAGGTTGATCTTGCACATTATTGGAGACTATAACTTTCAAGACACAGTGTTCGGAAAAGATGATTAAAGGAGGAATAAAATATGTTATCAGATCTTTGTCTCATTGTAACATAGCAACATTAATGTTCCATGTTTACTTGGCTTTACCCGAGTCAATGACTCATCATTGCCCACAGCTTCTAAAGAATCATGTGCCATCCTGAAAAAAAACTCTAAACAGACAATTTCTCTGCAAAAAATTACGTAAAAATTATCTTTCCCATCTCAACATTCCACATATCCTTTTAAATGCGGCTTCCATTCGGCTCTTAATTTGTGCAAATGGCAGCTGTTACCTGGTAAAGTTTGAAGGTCACTGCTTGTCTGGAACGAGACGAATTTCGTGCAATTTCAGGTGTCGGGTTTTAGCCTGGTAAAAAAGTATCTGGTCACGCGTCGCTGTACTAGGGAGTCCCTAGGAGTGGGTGATGATTGTAGGCTTTCTTTTTAAAGGCTGACCTAGCAGTTAACGCATTTACAGAAGAACACACATGTCTTGCTTCATTCTGTTGTTGCCAGAATGGACATTTACGTTTTTGTGTGCACTTCATGATATTCAGTCGAGATTTAGATGTTACTTTACTGACACGTTAACATATCTGCGCAATGCATGTGAAAGATGAAGTCTTTTTGCTACCCAATTGGTATGGCGGCTGCCCTCCATGCAGTGCAGCACTTGTTTTTGCTGTTTGAAAATTCACGTGCAACTGAACTAACACTAACACTCGGTGTGCTTATTGGTATGGTGAGTGGTACAAGTGTCGCTCTATGAGAGTTTGCAAAACGTTTTCCTGCGTGTTCTCTTCGCTTGCGTGTTTGTCACTTGCTTCCAAAGGGCATCAAACTCGGCGTCAGCCATGGCCGTTTTCGCCGGATTTGTAGACGCGAAACTTGAGGTCATCATACACTGCCCCTGTTCTGGTTGCAGGTGGACATTCCGCCAGTCCCTGAAGTCCCTGCCCACAAGGGCCCGGTGTACACCCCACCGGTGAGCATGCTCGATCAGAATGCTATCGTGAGCCTGCTGCGGTACACGCAGACGGACCTGGACGGCGCTTTGCAGCGGGCCCGCGAAGAGGTGAGCACCCTCGGAACGCTGGGTGACACGGTGCACACTATACCAGAAGCGTGCCTTTATTGATCATACACGCATTGTCTGTTCATTGGTTGTCATTATCCAGTCACGTTTTATTATAGTTCATTAGATTATGCACTTTATATGAAATATATTTCTACTAAACTCATACCACAGTTCATCCCTTCTTTCATACTTTTTTAAAGAAATGTCACAGTCCATTACTTCTCATGGAAGACAAGGTATTTTTTTTTCCTCGCTATGGCTAGACTGCCCCATTAGATTCATTCCCACTACAGCTCTTAACACTCCATCTCCCCTGTATACGTCACGAGCGCACTTGCCGTATTTTCCTGCATATAACCCGTGGGGTATACCACTTTTTACAAACAAAACAAGACCCTGCGGGGTATATGGAGGTGCGGGCTATCCCAAAGTATTTTACACGTGTGACATGTCATAACTCGTTTAATTTTTTCATGGTAGGATTATTTACTATGCAACACTTACCTTTGACTAAAGCACTGCTGAATAAACCACTCACACTAAAATTGCACATGTTATCACGTTTTAAATTATTCGAATTGTTTGTACAATCAAACGACAATGGGCGCACTTTGTTTACTGGCGACAGGAGAGCTGGGAGAGAGAGAGGTGGGGGGTTGGGGGGTGGTTGCAGAGCAAGGTCTGCGGTGGCGACGGGAGAGCTGGGGGAGAGAGAGGTTGGGGGGCGGGGCAACGGCGTTACCGTAGTACCGCGATTGTCTGCGCAGTGCGCAATCTACCAGTGCTAAAACTGTACTTATCTACCAGTTATGTGTTACTTATTTATTGGATATTTACTTTTGTTACTTATTTACTGTTTTAGGTTCACTCGTTTCCGGTTAGTTTGTTTTCTTTGTGCACGTTATGATTTTAATGTTAACAATTGATAGTGGAATGTATTACAAATGTAAACGTCGTATTAATATGATGGAATTAAGCTGCGGTAACGACGTTAAAGATATGAATGCATGCGGTGTATATGGAGGTGCGGGCTATCTGAAATTTGTTTTACACAAAACGCTATTTTTGCGGGGTATATGCGTCTGCGGGTTATATGCGGGAAAATACGGTACTTACAGCTGGACTCTCCTCAATGCAGATTTTGACGAAAGACTGTGAGATCGCAGAATGGAAGAGGACGTGCGATGACGACAAACGGGAGGTCACAGAAATGAGGTAGGGTGTAAATTAATGTGTCGGCAAAGCCCGTGTAATAGTCCAGCAAAAGCTCTGCCATCCAGCATTTTACCACCCGGAATGCTCTATTAACCGGCATCTGTCATAGACGGCATTACTAATCTTTCTTCACATATCCAGAAAGATTCCGACAGCCATCCGACATCTTGCCGTGCTCTTCTCATAGATCTATTGTTTACGGAAGTTTCAGAACGCTACCGAGTGGTGGCGCTAGCGGCAGTCTGTACATACAGTATTGTATACTGTACTCTTAAACGGCCCCACTGCTTCTCTGCAATCAAGGTAGAATGCGCTACAACTGACTGGTGAGTATCTCTGTAAAAGAAAATATAGTTTTATATCATTTAAAATGTAGGGTTAATTTCCTTCTCAAAAAGTTGAATGTGTTTAAAAAATTTGGTGAACCATAAGTATAACTCTCAGATAACCGGAAATATATGATTTGATTAACCGGCACCCTCCATTCCCCATGAATGCCGGATGACAGCTTTTGCTGTACGAACAATGATGAGATGGTGATGTGACATTGGTTCAACACGTGACACCACGTATGCGTGTGCAGCGGAAAGTAACGGCATTGCCTCTTTTGCAAGGGCGACCACAAACCCATCACCTCTCTCCCCCCCGTGAACTCGTGCAGCCACGACTTTACAACCCCCCCCTTCCCCCTCTCCCGTGCCTATATAAAAACACAACAGCAGGTAATTCTTTCTCACCTGATGACGGATGCTTGTGTCGCGACCGAAACATCGTGTTCTTTTATTATTTTTTCCTCAACTTGTAACCAACTTGTTTTTTGTGCAGGAAAATTGTGGCAGAATACGAGAAGACCATTGCCCAAATGATTGGTAAGCTCTTTGTGCACCTCACCTAGTGATCTCCTTAACCTGGTCACAGACCCCAAACATAACTGCCCAGTCCTATAGGTTCTTTTGGGTAATTTCATGCATCGTGCATAGTCAGCGAAGGACCATTGTGCCAAACGTGTGACCTCCTGTGATAGCATTCGCGTAACCTGCTTTAGCTGCCATACCAGTGTCTTGAGAGATATGTTTGATCCATGGATCACGGGTATGGCGCCATTCCTTAGAGAGTCGCAGTCCGCTTGGAACGTTGACCTTCAACTGTGAAGTGCGCAATTTTATTGCAGGAGTTTGCGCATCGAGACGGGGCGACGCACCCACAAAGTGACGGTCGTCTCCCTTAAACTAAGCTCTCGATCGCTAGGAGACGGGTCGTAGATGCAATGGTGACATAATAATAAGTTTGAGTAATTAACTTGTTATTTTCTGACACGCATCTCGCGGTGACGAGATGTGAACTACCTCGCCTGGTATACAGGAGGTCGTGGGTTCGATCCAGACCCTGATATTTGGAGTTTGCATGTCTCTTCCCATGGTGACGTGGATTTTTGTTTGGTCAACTGGTTTTTACCTCCACATTTAGAAACATGCATTTAGAGTATTTAGCTGCTATAAATTTACACGTGATAAGCCACTTCGTTGAGCTCTCATTTGTGGCCAGGTCGCTTATGAAAAAGGGTTATGTAGCTAAGTGGGGCTGACCTCGTAAAATAAAAATAGTTTAATAATTATTAAACTATTTCAATAATTTTTTAACTACTTTTATTGGGCCACTATTTTTAATAGAGAGAGTGGTTTAGGTGGTCCTGGCCACTGATCTCTGTGTGTGGTTGACACGTCTTTCTTGTCACTTTACGAGCTCTGTGAGAAGACAGCACCCACTTGCAGTCCAGTGTTGCCCTCGTTTGTCAGCCCCACCGTCGCCTGTACACATTCACTGGGGTTCCTTTCCACTCTAGCAACTTGGTTTCTGCAGCTGAACCAATGCAATTTTCAGTCTTTAATCTGTTGCTAAATGGTCTATGTAGTCCCACAAGCGGTGATAGCAACTGTTAGGAGTATTGCAAGGAGGGCGGTGAATTCCAAGCCATAGTGATGAGGAAGAATTCCCCTTGAAACTGCTGTTACAGGACTTGTCTGTGTGTGACAGTGTACAGTGGTGGCTGTGTGTGGATTACAATGGGGTTACTATCACAGTGTTCCCCTTCATGTGCAGCCAATGAGGAAGATGGGTATATTAGTGCAGTACATTTCCTTACTGCACTGATGTGTCCACTATGCCCCAAATCACTGGACAGCAGAGATGGGGAAAATTTGTAACGATAATAGCCAAGTTTCCAAGCTGTCCTGCAGCTTGGATGTATGACTAATTACTTTCGATCAATGTCATAACTGTTTTAAAACTGTCAAAGCAATTCCATATCCGTTTGTGGCTGCTGCGTAGAGGAAAGCCAGATGGAAAAGGCCATGATGGAGAGGAAAATTCAGCAGGAGATGGCTGAGAAGGAACAGTATTTGGCCGACTCCAGCTCCATGGAGAAGTCCTTTTCAGAACTCTTCCGCCGATACGAAAAGATGAAGGAGGTGTTGGAGGGTTATCAGAAGGTAAAGGCTTTATAATCCGCGTGTTTAAACGCTCAACTAAACGTGTGGTGTATTCCTGCACGTGGCTCACGCATGGAACACGTGTTCACGTTACTTGGGGTGTCACTCCCAGCATCAATCAGCACTTTTAAGATGAAACTTTAGCTGCATTATTTCCCAAGGATGCTGCACACATGGTCGTGCGTTGTGTTTTGCAGCAGAAACGCAACAAATCCACAACTGCAATTAAGTATTTGTTTACTCATTTGCTAGTGATCATTTACATGTTACTCAGGAGAGTTTCACTGAATCTTTAGACCCGTTTTTGCAGAGTCTCCTCCAGTAAGGGATTGGGGCTGGAGACGTCACTCATGTTGTAAAAGCTCCTGCCTTGTCGCTAGATGGCGGATATATTGTGTCATCAAGGGACGGTGGTGCCTGTGCACAAGTGAACAGCTTGTCGTTAGTTGTGTCGTTTCATGTCGGAGATTTTATAGGACACTTTTGTGACGCAGTCTATTGTTTAGCGAGTAACCTATTGCAGCGTGAATGTGATCCGGGTCCTCACCGCACCAAAGGTAAACACGGGCAGCAGCTTGTTTGAAACAAAATAAGTGACCGTTTTTAAAACCACAAAGTACACCGCAGTGCCTAGTTCCTCCTGGCTTTGACATTCCTCATATACACTGGTGGCGTATCCATCAAACACATCGGAACATTAACAGGCCGATGTGCACATTACTTCTTGAATGGATAATTAAAGACACGAGCCACCATCGTGACCATGCAACCCAAACTATGGAACATACAGTAAATGATTGTCGCCTGCCCTCCTTCAAAGGAGGTGGAACAGCAAAACGACAAAAAACTCTACTCAAGCCCTCTCGTCATGGCCAGCATCAGACCTCGACATCGGCATTGAGCTCCTGAACATATTGCCATATGCAAGTATAGAATAGTGCCTGGTTTCGCAGATCATGTACATTAATCCATCGTTTAGCATGGTAGATCCGTTCCTGAAAGTGCCACGTTAAGCGAGGAATTACTCTACTGATCACACGTGCAATGTAAATCGGCCCGCAGTCATCTCATGGCGGGACATGACTGAGATTAGGGTACGACGCCGTGTACTATATTCCGCATAATTTATCATTTCACTCAGCCGCGCAACTCGAGAAAGTAGTATGTCGTCCACCGCTCAGAAACCACACGACAACGTTGCTTGTTCGGCGTTGTGCGAAAAGTGCTCCCTAATTAAAGAACCGCCTTGCTGCAAAAATGCGTTGAGCGAGGACTTACCGTATAATGTTTCATTGTTATACCGTGACTTCCCATGTGGCGTCCGTGTGCGCCTGGCGTCGTTTGCTAGAATGAGGAGGTACTGAAGAAGTGTGCGCAGGATGCCCTGACGCGCGTGAAAAAGGAAGACCAGCGCTACCAAGCCCTCAAAGCCCATGCAGAGGAGAAACTGGACAAGTGAGCGATTTCTAGCACAACGTCTCTCTCGTGTCCAGTATCATAAACTTACATTTCCTCACCAGATGACAGTGGGCCGGGAAGCAATGGATGTTCGATGGAGACAAGGAAAAAATGAATACCATGGATGTTTCTTGATCGCCATTTGAGTGATAGTGTGTATTATATAATAGATATGGGTGTTTTTTAGGTATATACTACATGTTTTAATATATAGGTATATATTTGTGTATTTTGGTATATGGACATGTGTGTATGTTATCTTTCCTATAAATGTTATTTTTTTGTCTGTCTGTGGACGAAACTTGCGAAGGATTTGGCTCGCGAACCGTGGGGCAATGGTTCTTAACCTCGGTAAGTACTGGCAGTCTATAATGTAGACTTGTTCTCGGTTCTTAATAACCATTGATACAGTCTACATTATAGACTGCCAGTACACTCACAAAACTTAATAATCAGGTTAGAGTCTACATTATAGACTGCCAGTACACTCCGATTAAAAACCAGGCTACAGTCTACATTAATGTTTTTTTACTTTATTTTTATTATTTTTCTATCTATGTCACTTTACCGAAAGAACCAAATATTACTATAATAGAGTTAATATAGCTTCTACTACAGCCAGTAAACACTGCTATAGAGTTTGTATAGCTACTACTACACCCAGTACACACTGCTATAGAGTTGTATAGCTACTACTGCAGTCAGTGCATACTGCTATAGCGTTAGTATAGCTACTACTACAGCCAGTACACACTGCTATAGAGTTGTATAGTTACTACTACAGCCAGTGCATACTGCTATACAGTTAGTATAGCTACTACTACAGCCAGTGCATATTGCTATAGAGTTAGTATAGCTACTACTACAGCCAGTACAGTGAGGGGAAAAAAGTATTTGATCCCCTGCTGATTTTGTACGTTTGCCCACTGACAAAGAAATGATCAGAATAACAACACAAAAATCCAGAAAAACGCATGTCAAAAATATTATGAATTGGTTTGCATTTTAATGAGGGAAATACGTATTTGACCCCCTCTCAATCAGAAAGATTTCTGGCTCCCAGGTTTCTTTTATACAGGTAACGAGCTGAGATTAGGAGCACACTCTTAAAGGGAGTGGTCCTAATATCAGCTTGTTACCTGTATAAAAGACACCTGTCCACAAGCAATCGATCAATCAGATTCCAAACTCTTCACCATGACCAAGACCAAAGAGCTCTCCAAGGATGTCAGGGACAAGATTGTAGACCTACACAATGCTGGAATGGGCTATAAGACCATTGCCAAGCAGCTTGGTGAGAAGGTGACAACAGTTGGTGCGATTAGTCACAAATGGAAGAAACACAAAAGAACTGTCAATCTCCCTCGGCCTGGGGCTCCATGCAAGATCTCACCTCGTGGAGTTGCAATGATCATGAGAACGGTGAGGAATTAGCCCAGAAACTACACGGGAGGATCTTGTCAATGATCTCAAGGCAGCTGGGACCATAGTCACCAAGAAAACAATTGGTAACACACTACGCCGTGAAGGACTGAAATCCTGCAGCGCCCGCAAGGTCCCCCTGCTCAAGAAAGCACATATACATGCCCGTCTGAAGTTTGCCAATGAACATCTGAATGATTCAGAGGACAACTGGGTGAAAGTGTTGTGGTCAGATGAGGCCAAAATGGAGCTCTTTGGCATCAACTCAACTTGCCGTGTTTGGAGGAGGAGGAATGCTGCCTATGACCCCAAGAACACCATCCCCACCTTCAAACATGGAGGTGGAAACATGCTATTGTGGTGTTTTTCTGCTAAGGGGACAGAACAACTTCACCGCATCAAAGGGACGATGGACGGGGCCATGTACCGTCAAATCTTGGGTGAGAACCTCCTTCCCTCAGCCAGGGCATTGAAAATGGGTCGTGGATTGGTATTCCAGCATGACAATGACCCAAAACACACGGCCAAGGCAACAAAGGAGTGGCTCAAGAAGAAGCACATTAAGGTCCTGGAGTTGCCTAGCCAGTCTCCAGACCTTAATCTCATATAAAATCTGTGGAGGGAGCTGAAGGTTCGAGTTGCCAAACGTCAGCCTCGAAACCTTAATGACTTGGAGAAGATCTGCAAAGAGGAGTGGGACAAAATCCCTCCTGAGATGTGTGCAAACCTGGTGGCCAACTGCAAGAAACGTCTGACCTCTGATTGCCAACAAGGGTTTTGCCACCAAGTACTAAGTCATGTTTTGCAAATCAATTTATAACATTTTTGACATGCTTTTTTCTGGATTTTTTTGTTGTGATTCTGTCTCTCACTGTTCAAATAAACCTACCATTAAAATTATAGACTGATAATTTCTTTGTCAGTGGGCAAACGTATAAAATCAGCAGGGGATCAAATACTTTTTTCCCTCACTGTACATACTAATGTAGTGATAGTAGATACTACTATCGATTTGGTAGATACTACTTTCGAGTTAGTAGATTTTACTATAGTCAATATATACTACTGTAGAGTTAGTAGCTACTGCTATAGAGTCGATATATACTATTATAGAGTCAGTAGATACTGTATAGTTAGTAGATACTACTACTGTCAGTAGATACTACTACAGTCAGTAGATACTACTGTAGAGTTAGTAGTTACTACTATAGTCGGTGTATACTACGATAGTCGGTAGTTACTACCGGAGAGTCGGTAGATAGTACCGTAGAGTCGGTAGATGGTATCGTAGAGTCGGTAGATGGTACCGTAGTCGGTAGATGGTACCGTAGAGTCGGTAGATGGTACTACCGACTATCGTAGTATACACCGACTATAGTAGATGGTACCGTAGAGTCGGTAGATAGTATCGTAGAGTCGGTAGATAGTATCGTAGAGTCGGTAGATAATAGTACAGTCAGTAGACGTCACCCTGCTGCTCTATTTAAGACCGGGAGAAAATGAGAGCTTTACCATTCTGGCGAATTGCCCGATGATGCTGGATGTAATTGCCAGCGAAACGTCGTACTCAAATTTTAAATGGTGTTGATTCACTCTTTAACACACCGGTGGGCTAAAGTAGTGAACTATTTGTGCTTTGTAAACGTGACACATTTTTTTATTGTTTGGCCGTGTCGGGTGGTGGAGGGTGACGACACATTTATAAACAATGCAATCTCACCCAAAAACCTTTATTATGAAAGATTCTACTATATTGAGTGGATACTACTGTAGTGAGTCCAATTGAGTTGCAGACGTTGTCTTTGGAGAAACACTATTTATTACATCAACTCAACACAACATAACGTAACCTACACTCGGGTGTTGAACGCCCATCTAACCACACTATGGCAGAACTCGATATGGTCCCGCTATCCCGGTCCGGACCACGAGCTGGGTCCCGGACCGCGTGACTAGAGGCTTCTTCAACCCGACGTGAATCTTCACTCACCAACAATCAAGAACCCCGAGCCCCACACGGGGCCCCCGTTATATCGGCCCGGACTGGGGCTGTCTCCGCCTCTCGCCCCGCCCACCTTCTCTCGAGCTTTTTCCCGAAGGCTTTGAGAGTTCCTCTATACCACGTGACCACCCAGCGTCCACCGGTGGCCCCCATCCACCGGTGGCCCCCTTCCAATATCATCCGGTCACGTGTCGGCAGGTCAACCAGCGTATCATGCCCGAACGTAACACCCTGTCTGGCTGACACTCCCTCTCGCTCCCTCACCGGGAGCCTGCACCACACGCTGTACGTGGAGCCTCTGCGCTAACCAGCGCTCACCCAAGCCCCGCTAGGCTACGCCCAGTAACTGGAATGCACATAATGACAACGCATTATCCGCCGTGGCCTCGCAAGGCCGGCACCACACAGTGACATTCACAGTCACTACACTACTATAGAGTCAATAGATACGACTACAAATTCAGTAGATACTACTATAGTCAATAGACACTACTGTAGAGCCAGATACTACTATAGAGTCACTAGATACTACTCACTCTATTATATGTAGGGTGTGTAGGTATATATGCCTACGGGGGGGGTAAAAATATTTTTTGGGGGGGGCAGAGATAGGTCGACAATTTTCGGAAACCTTTTAGATCAACTATTTACCCGCCACTTTCTATTACTTTTGGATTCAGGACTTAAAGCCTCTCATAATTTTGTTGATGGACAAATGGACAGACAAACGGAATGCTGGGCTTTCACAATAGCTTAGTACTTGTGTATGTATATGTTATGTTTTTAAGAGAAGTTTTGAAATATATTTGTCCCCCGGGCAACGCCGGGTACTTCCCACTAGTCTCACCTATAAAAGGCATTTTTTGTTTGTCCGACCGTGTCTGCGTGTGGCTGACACTTGCGAGGGATTTGGCTCGCGAACTGTGGGGTTAACTTTTTGGTTCTTTCGGTAAAGTCACGTAGAAAGAAAATAAATTAAATAATAGCATACGAAGTTTCGATTGCAACACAAGCAATCATCGTCAGGTACAAATGAAAGAGAAAACAAACCTAGTAAACTTAGAAATATAATGCAATACAACACAGATAGTCGGCTAACATAACAGTCAACACTACCTGGTTGATTACATTCTTCCAAAGATTGCTCAATTTGAGAGAGAGACAAAACAAAGACACGCAGTATGTACTGGCTATCGTCTGTCTTTGTGTCTCCGTGTCTGTGTCGTCTCTCTCAAATTTCACACTTAACTTATAATTTAGCAATCTTTGGAAGAACATAATCAAGCAGGCCATGCGTTGTGTGTTGACCGACTCTCTGTGTAGCATTGCATTACATTTCCAAATTTTACTAAGTTTGTTTGATTTAGTGTGTTTTCTCTCTCTCTGTCTCTCCTCATTTTGTTGTTCTTGCTTCCTGCAGTTTTGCCAGGTCGCTCATTGACATGCTAGTTTCTCTACCCCCCCCCTCTCTGCCCCCCTCTCTATTTAAGGCCTCGACACAGAGGCGTTGTTTCTCTGTGTGCCTATGTGTGTGTCTCTCTCTGTGTGTGTCTGTGTTATTTCTCTCTGCTTA